TCACATGACCTGGTGCTGTCTGTGCTTGCAATCTCAAACTTAATCCTCCTCTGTTAATGCCGTCCAAGTCAAAAGTTTCTCTAGGTCAGACATTTGACCTGGTCATCTTACAAAACAGGGAGCACTTACTGTTATGACGCTGTTTACTGAATATCAAGTTTAATGCCAAATATATCTGATGGCGTTATAACCTTTTTATCTAATGACGTTTTAGCATGCAATAATGTATTGTCTAGTAAAGGTCATTTAAGGGTCTAAAAACTTTTCAATGTACAAATTACACTTGGAAACATCTGGCTTATTATTAGTTCTTAGATCTACATCTTACTGCAACGTGTGGAAGCCGTATTTCCGACAGCCAAGCTAATGACTTTAATCCGACTCATGAAGTTACAAGCTATTTTACAGCTACTGGACATTATACATTAGGGAAGCATATAGCACAAATAATAAGATACACTGAAGACAACTAAATATAGGTCCTTCAAGAGTTTTCAGTTGGTTACTGTATAGTGCTCAAAATGTGTTGAATAATAATATTAAAACAACTTTAACAAAACAAAAACAAATGTGATTTACAGTGTGTCACCATATGTCATCAAAATATGTGGCGTGTGGCCTACTATTTATACAGACAGATATCAGTCTGGTCCCCACATCCTCCATCACAATCAAATGTGATGGTGCAATCAGATTTGTCTTTTTTTCAGTGTTGCATGTGAAAAGAAGGAGCTCAGTGGTCACCTATTATTTACAAATGAAAATTTTGTTGTGCTCATTCATCATATCAGAGTTCATTAATTCTGCAGAAATCAGCTTTGTTTTTCAGTCCCCTTTTTGTTGATACGGACAAACAATGCATGGTCCTGATCGGCTGTCAATCATCATCATCTGTCAATCACACCCATCTGCAAAAAGGGATAATTACCAGTGACCAGACTCACATCTTGAGAAAGTATTGAAGAAGTGTGTATGCTCTATCGCAGGCAAGATGTGTATTGGAAGTAACAGAAATTTTTAACTTTCAAAGCAATGGCGCCTTGATTGTAATCAATAAAGGACTTTTTAGAGTGTCTTGGCTTGCCTTCTTTGTTTTGACAGTGTAGGCAGTGTAATTCTCACCAAGTCAGATCTTTATTTATTACATTGTTTTCATGGGTATACTTTTGACCACTCTACCATATACTATCACACTACTGAACTACAGTGCACGTCATACACCCGCCAAACTGCTGTGGCATTAACAGCAATTCCTCTGTTTTATAACAACCTATAACAGGCTCAGTGTCACATTCTCTGCCTGGTCAATGTACCCCATTCAAACGCCTGACTAAGCACCTGCCTCTCCCGAGCACAAATATTTCAAAGGATTAGAACAGAGTGAAGGGACGATGGGGTCGACACGTAGGCCGCAGTCGTCCATTGTCCTACACTGTCTGGGTTTACCAAGGAAAGTGATGCTTCTTAACACGCACATGTATTCAGGAGGATCTCCCAGGTACACAGAGATCTTAAGAAGCAAACTATCATCACCCACAAACTCAAGGACTTTTTAATGAAATTATTATTCAGTTTTAAAAATGTGTTGTGATTTTCATTGTTCTAAATTATTTCTTGGAGCAAAAAATAATTTGAAAAACTGGAGAAGAAAAATGTAACAAATTGTAACTGTTTTAGCTGTTTTTCATTTTCTTTTTTTTATTCATTTGCTTGTGAACTAGTTTTCACACTTTTTCCACATCTAAGGGATCAATTGTGGGTGTCCTCTGCATGAATAGTTACAATGGACTTTTCTGACATTGAGAAGAATAAAGGAACATGAAACACCATAACAAAAGTTCATGCAATACAGAACTGAATAGCCTTTCTCAAGCTATAACACAACTCCTTTATAGTTCCTTTGAGAATTTGGTAAAAAGTTCAACTACAGTGGACTGCAGTCATATTTATCTTTTTGGGTAAACAATGCGGTATTAAACTTCACTTAGTTCAAATAGCCAGTAATATTGATAAATCTGCATGTAAAGGAAATGCATCTTATCTTAGTTTGCAGGTTTAGTCCAATATCCTCCTGGTTTACACAGAGTTTTACAGTGAATTCATTCTTACTTGTGTGTGGGTAGAACACATGACCGAGGGGTGGAGAAAGAAATAGGGGCATGGACTATACTCCCTGCACAGCCAATAAGAATTTGACTGACCCTACTATTTAGTGTGGCAGTGCTCAGGCCAGCTGCTTAATCGTGACACTAAATGAATTTAACTTTTCAACTTGACTCACTGAAAACTGATTGAATCTGAGGTTGCGGTGCCATTGGCATCTTTTGGACTGACACAGTGGATTTGGAGGCTCAGATCACTTTTTGGAGTATAGCAAGAAACATATGCAGTGATTTTCCTTTTCATACATATTCAGAGATGCTCAGTCAAAACCAATGAAGTCTGCAGTGTGTTAGAGAAGTTTTTAAGAGCTTGCGGGCCTTGTTCCTTCTTTCAAGGTAAGATGCTTAACTCACACTCAAATATGGACTTAACATTGGACAGCAGTCTATTCAAAATAATGTACAATATGCTGACTTTTTATTAACGCATATTCAGCTGCCAGCACTATGTAATGTATATTTTTTTCTAAGCAAATATCTCATAAATATGTAAATCACTTCTATAATTGATCAAGAAAAATACTGAATCTGATAAATGGCACTGGGAAACTAGTGTCAACTGTGGCTTAAAGCAATGACTTCCAACAACTGATATATCGGGACTGAAGTCATATGCATTTGATAGATGTGATTTTGTAGCGTGCTTGGGATACTAAATTGGTCATAAATGAATCAAAATGAAAATTTATGGTAAATTTTATTTCATAGGCTGTAATTATTTAGGTGATATAATTTCCTCTGGAGGAAACTGTCTGTGTCCCCATGAGGTCTGTGTTAATGCCTCTGGATGTGTTTAAAATGTGCACTGTGAACTGTTGTTTTGAATATATACTTTGCAATTCCACATTTAAAAAAATGATTCAGCTCTATAATAGGCCACATTTGCACGCCGATACAGGAACCACCTCTGTCCCAAACCTTTAAACATCCAGGCTTGGGATAGACAAGAATCCAACTTGTGGCCTCCTGAGGCCGGTTTCTTCTTGAGTAAAGGTTGCTTTCCAAGAATAGGGTGATGTCCCTTTATGTGCCATAGTAAAGGTCCAGGGAGCACTAACTTGAGTCGAATCCAAGCTTGTAACCTTTATAAAGTGCGGCGACAGTGCTATCATTCCAGTGCTTTGTGTTAGCATGTATGTCACCAAGTGACACTGCCAGGACGCCCACTTTGGCCCGCTTTATATAGCACTGTACAAAAGGGCTGCTGGCCATGATACCTTTTCCCATTTGTCTACTTCTAGCTAACACACATTGATGGCCTGCAGTATCAAGCTACTTTTGTCTCCATTATAGGGCTATGCAATCCAACATAAAAGTGATATAAAATTACCTATTTTATATTCATCACTTCCTTTTTTTCTCATCATGTACAATAGATCTCAGAAGAATAGCTGGAATTAGGGTTTCATTTTTCCCTATCATAAGTTAGAAAACATGCGTAAAGACAAGAAATTAGTTCTATTCAGTTCTGACATTGTGTGATTCTGACACTGGTTGAATGAATTTTTAAAATCCCATTAAATGTTATATCATGGAGAAAGAGAATTCTCTATCAAGGTATAACAGGTTCTCCAAGAAAGAAGATGAAGCTGATTTGAAGTATTAAAAAAGTATGACCTCTATAGCACAGCATTTCCACCATTTCAAGATAAATGTCTTTGTTGTGATAATCAACCATCTACAAATCTGAATGAATTCCAAATGATAGAATAGTACACTCATAAAGAAGAAAAAATATGTTGACTAAAAACTTTATTGTCTATATGTAAATTTTGAAATCTCACACCCAAATTATTTCTTCCCAAATAGACACACATTTTTGCATGCATAACCACCGCGCATACATTCTCACCTTCATTGTCTGGTGGGTTAGCAGAAATAACACAAGCCGCATATTTATAGTCGCAGAGAAGCCACTAACATCCCAGCTCAATAAGCAAAGTTCTTTAACACATTAAATATTCACAAGTCGCAGCACACCACTGGCGTATCCAATAAGTTTTCGGAGCGCTAAGCCAATTCATCAACCAAATCAAGTCCTCCGCAAGTGCAAATCGCTATATCATCAGCCCCTCTCAAGTGAAGCCCTGAGCTATTGAAGAACTTGTATTTGTGTTCTGATCGATGTTCCTTGTGGATAGGCTCCCCTGTGTAAACTGTACAGTAAGTTGTTTAACTGGACACATAGACTTGTATTATTCATCACTGCTAAAGAGAGTCAGTGGAAGACCAGCAGGTTGAATACATAGTCCAGGTGCTTGTAACTACGCATTTAATAAGACATTTTACATACCAAAATGACTTTCTGCAGACAGTCCTTGCCTAGGAGACCAGCGTTCATGATTAGTCAGATCTCTGGTGAGATGCTGCAGACAAATGAGGAAAAATAAAAACATTTAAGAACTAAATATAATACAACCTTTCCATGAGTTCATTTTCAACAGGCATTTGCAGCATATTGCATTTCCAGGATCATACAATGAATCTGCATCAGTTGCCACTATCAAACACAATCAAGTTACATCAAAAACCTTTCAGCATCAATATAATCAGCCTGCAATTCTCCTCACCTCATCTGTACAGCATCAGTGTAAAAAGATTCAGATTATAGCATTGATCAACAACTATTATTGAAAGGAACATATGAAAGGACCTTCTCTTAGAGCCCAAAGCTTAAAAACGACCATACAATTTTGCAGTAAATGATAAACAATACCAACATGGATGGATTAATTTGACAAAAAATGAAATAAAAAATATATATAAATGTGCTTTTTTATATTTTCAAACAGGCCTTCACTTTTCCTGTGTGTGAGTGCAAGGCAAGACTGAGTGAAGATGCCCGTTGCCCTTGGTGGTCCAGTGGGCTACACTCCGCCCGAGGGAGGCTGGGGATGGATGGTGGTGATCGGTGCCTTCATCTCCATTGGCTTCTCCTATGCATTTCCAAAGTCCATCACTGTGTTCTTCAAAGAGATTGAAGTCATTTTCAATGTGACTAGCAGTCAGGTGTCATGGATTTCCTCAATCATGCTCGCTGTCATGTATGGTGGAGGTGAAGTATGATTTTCCTGATTTTGCTTTCAAGATTTCTGATATCAGGCAAAACAAAACAGCCATACGCATGTTAGTGGTAATGGAAGGCTGTGCTCTTCATGTGCATCTTTGTTTGGTTCAGCGTTTGCTTATTATATATACAGTAATACTGGATTTTAGATGCTACTCAACATTCTGCATACAATGTTTATTAGGAACTAAACTTAAAGTACATAACATATCTAACTATAGCTCATCGTTCGCATACTCGCCAATACTAACTGACTGTAAATTCTTAGTCCAGGATAATATAAGAAAAATAAAGAGTTAAACTGCTTAATTGCTGTTTATTAGATTGTAAACTTAAATGTACGTAACTTTTCTGATGAAGCATCTGCAACATTATTGTCTCCATGGAGATATTATTGCTTCTAATGTTACACACAAGCAGGTCAAGTTACAAATCTGATCTGTGGCGAGCACACTCACAGTAAGGATGCGTTTAGTTTATCTCTTTTCCCCAATAAAAATGCTTTTAATTGAATAAATGCCAGATTGATAATTCCACACTAGAGAACATTTTGGTCCACCATCTTTCAGTCACAATTAGACCTGCTTCAAAATTTACAAAATGTAGATTTGCTGTCTATTATTTCTGACTAAATTACATGTCAGAGGCTGGTGGCATGCTAGTGGTTGTATTGTTATGCCTGATGTGGGTATGTCAAGACATGACATTTAGCACGTCTGGGAAAGGGAATCAATTGCTGCTAAGTATAAAGGTTGAGTAAAGCGCTATGCTCAGATATCCAATAGGCTGCAGATTTGGGGACATCCAACAAAGCTTTAATTAAACTCTTCAAACTAACTGTGAAACATTATCTGTCCTCTACAATGGCTTCTTGTTCTTCTCTGTATTTTGTGAGACCCCTGGGGAGACTTTCAGATAAGATGGCTCACAGGCAGTGTAACGCCATACTAATGGGCCTGGTTAGGTCATGATCAGCCAAAATATTTAACAAAAAACGTTTCTCAAATGCATCATCTACATAGTCATCAAAACTTATTTTCTTTAAATTAAACTTATATCCTTGTTTACGATCCCAGTCCAGCATTGCATATAAGAAAAATGAAATCATGAAAAGAGCCTTTTCAAAAGCTACGCTGTACAGAATTACAGTACTGTGCAGTACACAGTACATGATTGCTAAATACTTAACTCGTAAGTAGGATGTTTTATGTGTATTTTAAGAGCATGAACATTATGTTGCAGTTAAGCCCTGATTACGGTGTAATGGAAGTACTGCACTCTCCATCAGAGAATCAATGGAAGCTATTGTTCAGCAGTACACAGCCCTCACCTTCAGCTCTGCATAAAGACCTGCTCTACTCTGTAACTGTAACTGTAACTGTAACAGCTATGTACTTTTTCAAATATAGGTTGTGTTCTAAGGTTTGCATTTGTCCTAAAATGTAACCTAAATTACTCTGTCCCTGTAGTGCTACATTAATTAAAAGCAAACAGTTCAGTGTTAATTTGCACAGACTCAAGCAAGCTTTGCATGGTAATGAGCAGGCACAGGGGAAATAAGTGAGGCCAATAGAAGCGGAAGGCACAATACTTTTTTCTGTAGATTTGACATTCGCTGCACATTGTCAGGTTTATAAACAAGGTACTCCTCTTTCAGTTTTTCCATTCATTATGCTCATAATTTTCTACATTGGTTCATCTTCAAACCTTTTATCTAAGGGAACTCTCTCTGCAGTGTGGAAGGAAAGAACTCATTGTTAGTGCTGAGACTTGCTGCATTACAATTTAAAAGCCCTTTGTCTTGCTCCATACTGGCAAATGAGTCTGGACAAGCCCTAAACAAAAACTGTCAGTTTCCATTTGGTTTTATTGGGCGGTGCAGAGTTTTGGCAGGAAGGCAAGAATGTCTTCAGTGTGGATCCCCAAACTCATTAAGTCGAGTTGTTATAGCCCGTAGATAGGGATTATATTTGTCATCTTTGCTAAATCATTGTGATTTTTCAATGTTTGGAGACATTATTTCAGTGGCAAATGTTTATCCTTTCTTTAAACCTGTGTACGAAGTGCTAAATTGATGGAAGAAAACAAAAGCTATTTTGATCAAATATGAAAAATAAATACACATTTCTAGACTAGTCTACCATTTATACTTAAAATGGCGATCTATCTGAAAGAACTTCATAGTCATTCTCAAAGAGCCATGCTGATCAATTCTTTGCCCTTGAATCCTTGAATCAAACCATTTTTTTCAGACAGAGAGATTATAATTTTCATACAAGTAGTCATCTACTGCAGTGCAGCACTGACATGAATGACTGAAGTAAATTGGCTAATCCACTGCTTTGGCAATTGCACCCTCTGCTGGATAAACTTTTGCAAACTTTTTTTTTTTTTTTTTTTGCAGGTCCAATTAGCAGTATTCTGGTAAATAAATATGGGAGTCGTCCTGTCATGATGGCCGGGGGATGCCTGTCTGGAATTGGCCTCATAGCTGCTTCCTTCTGTAATTCTGTGGAAGCTTTGTACTTCTGTATTGGTGTTGTGGGAGGTATGGCATACTTTTGTGATTTTAGTCATTTTCATTTTATTTTATGTTACTTAAAATAAGGGTACTCTTTTAGGCTTGGGCCTTGCTTTCAATCTCAACCCTGCTCTCACGATGATTGGAAAGTACTTCTACAAAAGACGACCTATCGCTAATGGACTTGCCATGGCTGGTAGCCCGGTTTTCCTCTCCACTCTGGCCCCTATAAACACGTGGTTCTATGACCAGTTTGGGTGGAGAGGAAGCTTCTTGATTCTGGGTGGTCTTCTCCTAAACTGCTGCGTGGCTGGTGCCCTCATGCGCCCCATTGGACCCAAACCCAAACCACCAGAGAAGACCAGTGAAAGACGCACCATGTCTCAGAGAATTAACAGCTTCATCGACTTGTCCTTGTTCAAACACAGGGGTTTCCTTCTCTACATCATGGGCAATGTCATCATGTTCTTCGGCCTCTTCACTCCCCTTGTGTTCCTCAGTAATTACGCTAAGAGCATCCACATACCTAAAGAGAAAGCTGCCTTCTTACTGTCCACGTTGGCTTTTGTGGACATGGTGGCCAGGCCCTCAATGGGACTGGTAGCTAACACGAAATGGATCCGTCCCAGAGTACAGTACTTCTTCGCCGCCTCTGTGCTGTACAATGGAGTGTGTCATCTGTGTGCTCCCATTTCCACAGACTACAAAGGCTTCGTTATCTATTCCATGTTCTTCGGCTTTGCTTTCGGGTGGCTGAGTGCTGTACTGTTTGAGACGCTCATGGACCTGGTGGGACCACAGCGTTTCTCCAGTGCTGTCGGGCTGGTCACCATTATTGAGTGTGGTCCTGTGCTGCTAGGACCCCCTCTGCTTGGTAAGGAGGCACATTGCCACTATTTGTAAGATGCAAGTAAGCAAGACTATACTGTAGACTGTTCCCAGGCACTGCCACGGCCACACAAATAATAATATATATTTTTTTTTATTTCCTATTGGAAATTTGTTTTTTCACTAAAACATTTAAATGCAGGCCCTTATGGTATAATCAGAATCCCACAAGACTTTTAAATTGTTATTCAACTCAAATATTAAAGATGTCCTCAGCATGATTTTTTTTTTAAAGTAAATATACACAACTTAACTTTTGAATATTTGTGTTTTGTTTTTCAGGGAAGTTCAAAGACATCTACGATGACTACAGGTATACCTACCAGGCCTGTGGAATCCTCCTGGTTGTATCCAGTGTACTCCTCTTTTTTGGAATGGGTCTTAACTATCGCCTCCTGGACAAAGAGAAAAAAGAGGAAGAGCGGCTGGCCAGAGTTGGGGGCAGTAGGAAATCAAAGACTGAGGAGATAGAAACTAGGAATATAGAAGCAGCTACCTAATGCAGCTTTGTCACCCATCTCCAATAATTTAGGCTGTATTCAATAAAACACAGATTGTTATGCAAAACTATAAGCACAATTTTTAAACATTTGTCCACTATTTTTTCACTATTTGTTTTAAGTATTCTGCACTTACGCACAGCTCCTTGTTACAATTATGAGTTATAAAAGCCTTACTGTTTATTTCTGTTATGGTGTAATTGTATGTAATTTCTTTTAACAGTACTGTACAGATCTCAAAGTAGTAGGCTAAATCTATAAAATGTTGAGGAAGCATTGAATGAGTGACATTTTTAGCCCACAGAGCCTCCAAATCAAGTGCTCTGACTGTTGGTTCATGGTTTAGTTAACATGCAAGGCCTATTCTACTGGTAGGTAGACTATGTGAGAACAATGAGGGTCATAGAAAGTGTTAAGCCTGATCTGAAATCAGTTTGTATCTAATAAACTTTTTTGAAGTGTGTATGTTAATGTGTATACGCATGTTCTCATCTTTAAATCTATTTACAACATCTCATTACACCATACACCCTTCATAGCTGATTTTGAAGCAAAAGACTGCATTACAAAAACTCTGTTTTAGAGTATGGTTTCCTCAGGCTTTACATGTGGCCCTAAAGGAAATAGTAGTAGGCCGTGACAAACCTGCTGCAGACGATATGGCCAGGAATATTACTCAGGCGCGACATCTCGTGGTCATCCATGGAATAGATGAATCCCACATACTTCATGACTCACACACAGGAAACGTCTCTGCAGCAGCATTACAGACATTGGATGAATTCGTGTGAGAGCTCCATGGATACGATAGGCCACACAAAAGCACAGCCAAACCCTACCATGACCTGCATTTGCCTTATTCCAAGTTGCTGTGCCTTCATCATTTGGGTTGTATTATTTGTATAAATAAGTTCAATACAGACTATTAAGTCTTTTTACAACCCCTCAGAGAATCGGTGCAGTGTTGACTTGTTGGTTCACATGAAAATTGAACATTTTACACAACTTTACCTACTTAACCCCCCAAACTTTTCCCAAATTCTCATTGAAAAAATGAGATCCCTAAACTAGAAGTGCCACCAAGCGCGGTTTAGGACAAGAGTGGGCGGGGCCGAATAACTGGCTGGGCGGCAAAATAAAAAAAATAAAAAAATTACACTGAGGAAATATTAAAACAATCAAACTGTTGTGTTCATGCTTTTTTTTTTTTTTTTTTTTTTGGAAGAATGAGGCTAAAATCAATGGATCTTTTTTAATGCGGCGTTAGTAAAGCGTACTCACATGTTGAACAGGTACCACTACTGCTTCTGTTACCGGCACGTAACATAACACAGCAGCGCCCCCGTGTGGCATTCGCCATTATTACTACTGATCGCAGCACAAGCATGTAACCTCTGTGTTGTTTGCATGTGCTTTGCGTAATTTTGCGAATTCTGCACTATAACAGTATGTTACATCTTTAATGACAAGCTGAGCACAGTCGAGACCACTGTTACACCATAGCTACATGTCTCTCACAGATGCCCTGTTTTTACCACAGACAGTAGAGTCTATGGTATGTACACGGGCCATTACGTCACGCACGTCAGGGCTGTGGGCACGTGCAGGTGGCCCTAAAACCGTTAAGTGCCTGTTAACGGTAGATGACGGTTACCGTCTGTAAGAGCGAGGAGCTGTACATGGATGAACTATTCGTGCCTGTATTTGTTGTAATACTGTAAGTAACTCTGACTAGACGTGTGAGGCCATAGACAGGGTTTGTACGTAACTGTTAACAGCTAGTTTTTTGAGAGTTCATATTGACGACAGCTGAATAATGTCAGTGTTAGCTTAGAAAACAATATGAGGACTTGTTTAACATTTACTGCAGCAAAAACCGTAATTTTGTGTTTGGACATAAGTAAATGACCTTAGTGTGTGTTCCCCAGAATCAGCAGAGAAAAGGATGGATCCAAAGAAAGGGTTCAGCTTCAAACTCCTGCTGCCACCTCGGGTCAGCCACGGTCAGGTCTCCGCTGTGAGACCCCAGGAGATCCACGACAACTGCGGGGACTTTTTGACCCCAATGCAACAGGTTCATCACACAACAAGTGACTTATACACATTTTTATGTACATGGGTAACGTTTGTGTTATTCGTATTTGCAGGGCTTTACGAAATGTTTTGACCAGGAACAGCATATTTCCAATAATAAAAGCATAGTTGCCCCATCTAAGCCAAACCAAAGGCAAGGTATGATTTAAATTTTTATTCCTATCTTGTGCTTTATCATAATTGTTAATAATTATTCAATATTGCATTTACAAATATCCGTCTTCTTTTATAAGACTCTGTGAAGATGAAAATTGTTCCTCCAATGGAAAAGGAGGAGGTAATACTTTAATGCCAGTGATGTTTATTCTTTCAAAGTAATATATTTTGACTTCTTTCATTGTTTATGTATCCCAGAACAACAGTAATGGGCAACTTTATAAGTTGTTTGATGAGGTTGAGAAAATAAGGAGCTGGAAAGTGAAAATTGATTCTGACATAGTTCAAAAAGAAAGGAAGCTCTATGAAAACAAAAGAACAATTGAAACACAGCGCAAAGCTATTCAAGAATTGCAGGTACATGTTTACAAAGTGTACCTCTTTGGGCCAGTATATCACATGCAACAATAAAAATGACTTTGATGGCAAAAATGGCATTTATATTATTCTTGGCAGTTTGGAAATGAAAGTCTTAGCATAAAACTGGAGGAGCAGATTAGTGAAAATGAAGAGCTTACAAACAGGTACTTGTACATGAAATAAAAATAACTACTGTTTACTGTATAGTTTTAATATTTGATTGTTGTTTTATTGTTCTAGAAACAACACAACACGAAACTTGTGCAATATTCTGAAAGACACATTTGAACGGTCTGTTGAGAAAATGCACTTATGTAAGTAAAGTGAACATATATTTAGAATTTTGCTAAATATATTTGGAATCTAAACTAACAAAATGTGTCTAGTTGAACGTGAACGGGAGGAAACGCACAATCTCTTGCTGGAATACCATGAAAACCTTCAGGTACTAACAGAAATATAGAGTAAATGCAAAAAAAAAATCTGTTGCATTGTGTGACAAAGTGGGCCTTTGAGCTTTTATACTTACTTTCCTGTGCATCCACATGGCCTGGACACAAAAGAGGAGGCATGCCCTAGGTTAGCCACGTTTACAACTTCTGGGGGAGGCTGTGGGCCAGACCATGTGGAGGAGAGAATTGGTTTTGAGTTTCTTTTTTATGGGTTTTGTGTATTTGGTTTATATTTAAGTGTTTATAGGTTTGTTTGTTTTTTAGATTTTTTAAAAGAATTACAGAGGTCCTAGTTAACTTAACTCTAGTTAAGTTACTTGTACATAAGACCTGTAAAGAAAGTTGGTAATTGGGGGGAGGTCCCTCCTGCGTTTGCTTAAGTTGTGCACAGTTATTTTTTGTAAACAGTATGTATTATTTTTGCCTTGCTTACCACAGGGAACCTAATTAAATATTTGTTAATTGGGAAATCTTTCTGGGTCTGCCTCCTACTTAAAGCCACTTTGGCTAGCTTACTCACACATTGTTTATTTTAACTGATCATTTGTTTCTTAACACAGAAACATCTTGAAACACTGGCAGCCCTACAGCTCAAATCAGAGGCTAACCATTCAGAACTACAGAAAGGTATTCAGTTTTTATTTTTATTTATTTATTTTTTCAGAATTCTTAAACTATGTATGTTAACACACAATTGGCTAATGATTTCAGCTAAAGATGAGCTAATGCAGTTTGAAGATCAGCAAAAGAAATTACAACAAGACATTGAAAAGAAGGAGGAAGAGGTAAAGGCATGTTAAACAACTGATACTTTGCAGCCGTAGGGGTGCGATGCTAGCTGGAGGCACTGCTCTTGTCAGACAAGTCCCTCTCAAATAACATTACAGTCGCAACCTAGTTACTTGCAACTTTTTGTATTTGTTCTTTCTTAAAACAGTTTTGACTGTTTAAGTGTGCATTTTCTCAGTGGTAACAGCTGAACATTCCACCATAAAGATACATGTGGAACACCCACAGCGTGATGCCACTGCAAAGTATCAAAACTTACGTGTGATGTTACTACTGTAACTGTACTATTTTTATACACAGGTTGAAGCTCTTCAGACTAAGCTTAGAGACAATGACGGTAATTTAAACAACATGTTTGCAGAGCTCCAAGACATTAAAGAACACAGCAGGACGCTTCAAGAAGAAATAGGTCATATTACATGCTTTATACAATTTTATGTCTTCTCCCGTTTTCCATCCTCCCAAATTTACATTTGAATAATTAATATTTTCCACAGATCATAAAAGTGACCTCCTCAGAAGTTCAAATGCTGAACATGATTCCCTCATTAAAAGACTGCAAGATGCAGAAGAGCACTGTAAAGAGATGGAGGTGTTTCATCAAATTCTTTTCCAGATAACTGAGACTATTGATCTTTGGGCCATTTTAACTGTTTTTCTCCATTAATCTTGAAACAAAACAGCAAGCTATGGCCACTCTGCTCACAAAGACGGAAGAATATGAAAACATGATTCAAACTAAAGAGTTGAATATACAAGAGCTGACCAGAGAAACGGCTCAGCAGAGAGAAACACTTGTGCAGATGCAGAGAACTATGGATGAGCTGCATAAGTTACTGGACACTGAGACACAGAAGTAAATAAATTCTTTCTACACGTTTACCAAAATAGACTAATATGATCAACTATCAGCTATTCACTAAATTATACAATCATGTTTATGTACAGAGCTACTGAACTGGAAGAGAGATTAAAGGCTAATTTTCAAGAATTTGAAAAGGCAAAGAAAGACATTGGTAATTCTCATGCTAAACTTTCAGTATGGTATGTGAGTGTTTTGTAATTAGTTTCTACTTTTGTAGGAGAAATGTCTGAACTGAGTGCACAGAAAGAGGAGAAGATCAACAGTCTCATGAAACAACTAGTAAAGCACAGTCTAGGATGAAATACAAGTTCTTATACAGTTCAATAACAGTTACATAATATTTTTTATTAGGATGCAACAGACAAATTTATGGAGGCTATAAACAACAGAATGTCAGAAGTCACAGGCAGAGCAGAGGCCCTGGAGGCTGAGCTTTTGAATAAAACTGAGGAAGCTCAACAACTAAAGGTGATTTCTACATTTTAAACCACTTTTTAATAGGCTCATAATTTAATTTCTTTTTCAAATACCTGTGATTGTTAGAGGAGGCTTGTCCAAGTCAATCAAACCTTTAATTTTTGCATATACCTACTGTATCCTGGAGTACTTACTACTGTTGTTGCTGATACTTAAGGTTCAAGCTGATGAGCTACAAAAGCATTTGACCAGTGAACAAAAGAAAAACGAGGCAAAGTCATCTGAAGTGGAACAATTACAGAAAGAGATTACACAGCTCAAGTGAGTAAACATACTGGTTGTCATACAGTATGTTTTACAAACTTGTATTTGTGTTATTTTGCAGATGGACATATGAAGAGCTTTTGTCGAACTTTAATGAGCTTCAGTCTGTGAAAAGTGCCCTTGAACTGAAGCTTGAGAGTCGATGCCTTGATGTTCAATCTGCTGAAGAAAGGCTTCTTCAGGCTCAGGAGCTGACCAACAAAATTGTGCAAACTGAAAATGAAAAACAACAATTGCGGTTGATTTGAATTTAATAAAAGTTTACATACTCTGAATATAATATAATAACATAGTTTCCTTTCAGCTGTGAACTTAATTCCATCAAGACCACTCTTCATCACAAATGTCAGGAAATTGACATTTTGAAAAAGAACCTTGAAGAAAATGTAAGTGGGCTTCAAACTTTTGATTCTAAAAACAAAATCTAACTTTTTTTTTCCATTTTAGGGTGAGAATTTGTTGGATGAAATTTCAAAAAAAGAAAGAAGAATTAGGGTTATTGAAGCTAAGGTAAGCTATGTTTTTTTGCTGCTAACTCAATATTATTCAGTCCGCAGTACACAAACAGTACACATTTTGTTGTCCTCTTGTAGAACAAATCACTGAAAAAGCAAGTGGCTAAACAAACTTCCAAATCCAGTGAACTACAGAATGCAGTATGGCTGTCTGGGTGCTTCTCTCCCAAGCAAAAAATACATTTCAGATTTCAATATTGTTGGTCTTTTTTACACATCTCATTTTTGTAGATTAGCAATCTCCAAGAAGAAAACCAGAGCATAAAAAATGTGCATGAAAAGGAGCGGCAGAAATTACTTGAAGATCTGCAAAACAAGTCAGCAGTTGCCCGAGAGCTGGAGATTGAGGTGCACAGTGCGTCTCTGTGAATTTGACCTATTTTAGCCAAAAATATTAATAACTTCTACTTAAACAAAGGTTAAAAAACTGAGATCAGAAACAGAAGAGGCTATCAGGTGCCAAGAAGATGCAGAGCTGAAATGCCAAAACAAGATCACCGATATGGTCACGCTCATGGAGAAACACAAAGTAGGACCATTTCTTTAAATCTATATGATAATGTTCATGTGGAATTTATTTCTTTGTTCACTTATCCCAACCAGAGCCAGTACGATCGTATGGTTGAAGAAAAGGAAACTGAACTCCAAGCAAACAAGGAAAAGGAGATGAAAGCTGTTGCACATGGAAAAACATTGGTATATAAAACACGTTATTTTATACACATTTGAATCTGAATTGGCACTAGCTACACGCGTTATATGCATCACATCAGCTGTAAGCTCTGCCTGTGTCTATGTATGACTACATTGTCCCTGTCAAATGAATAAATACATTTACAATTTAGAAACAGGAACTCTCAAAGCAAAAGAAAGAAAATGATTCTTTGAAGAAGGAGCTAAAAGAGCACATTAAAGAGAAGGTCTGAAACTTGTATTTATTATTATAGAGATTCTGCACCTTTTAAAGTGAAACTACTAATGTATTACAATTCCTGTATTAGGAAGACCTGCAGAAGGAGCTTTTCAACTTAAAGAATGAAAAGAGAAATACCCAGACACTCGATGATTCCAAACAGGTATTTTTCCCTCTTACGCAACAAGAAATGTAACTTGAAAACTATTTTTACACTCCTCTAATTTACATTTTAACAATTTAGAAGTTACCCATAAATGACAATAAAAAGGAAGAGGAATCCAAAACTCCAGTGGAGAGCCTTATAAAACTGTACAGATTTGACTTTTCAAAGGCCAGAAAAATGGTCTCCTTAAACAAAGATGAGTGGGGTGCTGCTGTTGAGAAAACAAGTGTAAGTCGCCTATATTTACGTCCATCTGGACTATTTCTACCTGTATTTCTCATGCCATTTAACATAGTTTTATAACAGACACAGGTACCAGAGATCACATCAGTGCAGACTTCATGTCAAACAACTCCAAGAAGCATGGTATGCTCCCATTGTTACATTGAATTGACAGCATCTTTAGTTATTGATATACTTTCACAGAGCATCCATAGTAACAATGTGAAAACGCCCAAAAGTAATGCAAGTCGATCTGCATCAAAGATTAAAGTAATACAAACTTTCAGTCATGTAGAATGACTTTGGATGTATTTTTAGTTGTTGCCAGTCATCACTATTTTATCAGTCTTACAGAATTCGTACTCCACCCTCGACTGAAAACAAATCAGCTTGGGAAAAAGGCACCATTGAACTAGACCCAAAGTCAGACAGCTCAAATCAAGACCTCTTGGTGAGATTTATTTATTTGAAACAAACCTGACACAACTATTAATAATATTGAGGAAACATAATACTTGTTATTGTTTAGATGTTTGCAAACACGTCTGCCCCCGTAGTCTTAGCTGCACACTCCTCGGACAACTTGTTTAAGGTAAGATCATCATTTTAAGTCAGTTTAGATCATAATCATATCATACAAGTGCTTGGAAGTGCATTATACATATGGTGCTGTTATTTTACAGAGTCAGAGTCCTCTAAATTTGAAATCACCCAAAAACCACTTAAAGCTAGCAGCAATGAAAAGAATGAGAGATGCAGGCTGGACCGCTGTCACAGGTGATGACAAAAAAAAGAAGAGGACCATTGAAAAAATATTTGCCTAAGCAGTTGTTGTATTTTGACTTAACAAGTTAGGCAGGTTAGTTGCCTCAAGATTGTTCTTAGTCACTATTGGATCTGCAATTTTTTTTACATTCTAAAACATGAAATTATACAGTATTTATATCTTTGGTGTGTTCTGTGTTCAGTCTATTCATTTAATGTATTGGCTATATTGCAGTATTGACGTTTGCTGATGTTTGTCATTGTTAATACCCAGATAAATTGGTTTATATTCATTCTATTGTTCTCATTAATAAATAACACATTCTGCTATGTCAGAACTGTTGTCTGTTGCATGGTTGTTGTTGTTGTTGTTGTTGTTATTTTACATATTTAAAACAATGATCTCTATAAGGTGTGACTGCATGTAACTGTTTTAATGAAGGAACTCCAAGGAGAAATGTGCTTCGTCCTGTCTGGCTGGTGGTACGTTGTCATAAATCGGATGTTCATTATAAAGTCCCTCAGAAATGACAAGTGTGCCAGGCTCTTCTGTCAGGGCATCTGAACAAATGTCATGTTTAAGAAACCAATTCTTGAGACTTTGTACAGAAGATAAATTTGAAAAATGCACTTACTCAAGTCTTGAGTGTTGTGTAGAGGCTGATGCAGGAATTGCAGTTTATGACTCCATCTGTGGAACTTGACAGCAACCACGGCCAGAGCAGACAAACCCAACATAACACTAAAGGTAATAGTCAGATTCCTCTCAGAAATGCTAAGCTGCGGACCTATGGGGAAACAATATATTAACATTTCTAAAACACAGTTGTACATTTATATTCAACGTGGGTAGGCTATCAAAATATTCTTAATGTTGGGAATACTTGTGAATGTGTCAGTGTTTTATGATTCTCTATTTTTGACTAATCTGCTGGAATAATACCTATTTTAAATATAAATTATAGTTTTAGACAAATCAAGAACCAATTTATGAAGAAAAGATGAAAAATATGTAAAAATTACAGGAAGTAGAGCTCTAAACTCACTGACAGCATCATGCTAGGGAGATTTACACTTAAGAAACACATCTGATACTTTAAACATGGTTGTAACATAATTTTTTTGGTATTTTTATTTGTTAAATAATGTCATTGTCAAATAATCTCTGTGTACATTTGAGAAGTTTGCGCCCAGTGTTTGCTAGATATGAAGTTATGAAATTACTGTGATGTCATGATTGCCAACAAGGAAGTACAACTTTAATCCTAAAAGAAATGGCAAACTGGAAAAGAAATGATAAAATTTTTAGCAAAATCTTAAATATGATCATCTTAAGTGAGCAAGTGAGTAAAATGAGAAGTCTAACCTGTCATAGGCACTTTAAATATGGGCACAATTTTCATATTTATGAAAGTATATAATCACCAAAATGCTCCAAATACTTGAACTGACATAATATCTATTGCCCACCCCTATTTTATAACATGGCTTATATTTACTTAGGGTTACCTCGTGTTGAAAGTTCAGACTGGGAGGTGGAAGTGACAACAGATGAGTTTGCAGTTGTGTTTGTAATAACAGCTTTAGCAGTAGTAGCTGTAGTAGTTGTGGAGTGGTATGTGTGGCTCTCAGATGTTGATGGTACTTCAGTTTGAGTGGCAGTCGTGGCTGTGGCCTCTGACGTACTGTTTATAGGCTCCATGACGGTGGTGGATTTCATTGTTTGAGCATGACTAGAGTTTGTTACTGCTGTGAAAGTACTGTTGTCTGCAGCACTGGTCGGAGTTGTATCGGGAATCCCAGTTGTCAGTGTTGTTGACTGTTCTGAAGTGTTCAATGGCTCTCTTTTTGTAGAGTTGTCTGATGTGACTGGGACTGTTACAGTAGACCGAGGACTCCAGTTTCCACTCACTGTTGTTAACTCAGCAAAAACAAGTGCCAGGCAAAAACTCAGCTTAAAAACAACTGTATCCATGATCTCTAAATCCCGCTGTGGTGAAAGACATCAATATATTACTAATCTTATCATTCATTAGAACTCTTGGATTATCAGTATTATAATGTATTTGATTTATTAAACCGTGCTCACCTGAGTACAGGAAGAAGAAAAAAACAGGTGCCAAGTGGTGCCATGTATGCCCTGCTGCCACTGAACAAGATTGTCTTCCTTATAGTGGTGCATAAAACTAGGAGGTCAATGCTGTGTAAACTTCCTCAATTATAAGTTACCTAGGAGATGCTATTATTGTCTGGACCAAAGCTCAATCCTTCTCTCTCATGCTCAAAGATAACATTTATTGCCTGTAGTCAGTAATCAGGAAACTCCCAGATTAATAATTACAGATGACATGCATGAGAACAGTAAAATCAAAGTGAACCATCTTACAAAATTTTTCACATTACTTTTATTGACTGGAAACAAAAGAACTCATAACATCCGTAATCTAGGCAATAAAAAGCAACAAATATTGTGCAATGAAAAGTCAGCAGCATTATGCTTCTGTATTGTGACTCCAGTATTGGTTAGCCATAAACTTATGTAGACCAAAGATTTAAAAAATTTAAAAAATATATATATAACAGCAACTTTGTGAAAGCTATAAATAAATGACCACTAAAAAGTATGATATGATTTTGTTCTGTAGTAACAATGCACAAGTGTTTCCAGATTTTGATTATTACAATTTAGTAGAAAAGCTTAATATATACTGTATAAAATCACTGACAGTAAATTGCACAATATAAAAGAATATCTACATCTAATTTCACAATAATTAATCCAACGCTTTTTGTATTTATAGCTTAGTGGTCATTTCTTTGCTTATAATTTCAGGAGGTAATTCAGTGAAAACCTTGTTGTCAATTCCATTCTTTTCTTCTGTATGTGGTGCCTGTGGAGGATCAGCACAAATAATGTTACAGCATCTTCATTAGAAGCATATTGTTATCTTGGCATTATTGTTTACTTTATAGAATATATATTTTTACCTCTGATGTGTTACAGCTTCTGAAGCAAAACAGATCACTCGTCTTCACAAATAGATCCGGATGGAGTTTTTCTTGTTTGCAGCCTCCTAAAATGCAGTATGATACATGTCAATACATGTAGTTATGTAATTTTTCTTCTTTTTTATTTAGTTGTGTTACAAAATCTTACCTGTGGCTATGCTAATCAGTAATCCAGACACTACTGTGACCAGGACACCGACAACAGCAAAGTATAGGTAGGACAAGGAGTACCAGGAGTCTGCCAGGGGTGGTCTCACACTGACAGAAAAATTTTTTGCTTTTATTTATTTGTTTTATTTTTATTTATTCAAACAAATCAACTAACTAGTTATTTATCAGTTTTTTTCCTTACGAGGGCAGTGTGGTCATGGGCACTGTACTGGTCCAAGGTGTCTGAGTGGTGTAGTTCTGGCTGATTGTACTGTTGCAGCCCACAGTGCTGAGTGGGAGAGGGAGAGTTTTATCAGCTGTAGGAGGGTAAATCTGTGATCCAATTCCTACCCATAAAGTCAAAACCAGTCCAATAATCATCCCAGAGAGACTTCCCTGTAAAACACAGGTAAGATTGTTAGTCTAGTCATCTACAATGACCTTGGAACTGCTAGGGAGTACTTACTATTGAATTTGGTGTGCGGAAAAACATGCCTAACACATACAGCCCGAGGAGAGGACCACTGATCATGCCAAAAATGGACAGAGCAGCCTAAAACAACAAGGCTCTGTGAAATTGTTTTTCATCATTTCTACCTCATGGGGGAGATAAAGAGTTAAAATAAAACACCCCAACTACATACCTGCAAAACGCTTCCCAGTAATGAAGCAACTCCAGCCATTCCAATACACACTCCTCCAAAGAAAACACCTAAAATCATCATAGCACTATAAATCCCGTTAACTAGGAGTATGTTCTTTTTAAAGAACTATGCACTATGTAACTTTTCTGGTGGAGGGCTTGTTTCCATGGAGATGTTGTTGCTTTTGGCATGAATGTTCCACACGGCGACATGGTTAAACATATTTCTGTCCATGGAGAGAAGAAGGTGGCATACTCTTGTCCAGAAAAGTTACATATGTATTTACCCTAGAGTCCCACAATGGGTAAATGTAACTGTAGTAGCCAAACGTTTACTTGAGAGCTGCACTGACTCTTAAAAGAGTTACATAATAAACCTGTGTGAGCCCAAACACTTTGAAAGAATTCACTTTTAAGAGCACTGCCTGTTTTTGCATGTTATAAAAAACTAGGTATATTATGCAGGTCACAAAGTATTTGATTTGTGTTAAGCTGAAATCACTACTTTATGTGTAACTGCAACATAACAGACAATCAACTATTAAGTTTATGTGCCTAAGATAAGATACAGTTTTATGTTCTTGTCTACTGGAATCTTTAATGACTTCAAAACGGAATTTACACCACCCGATTGTTATACTCATAACAATATTATTATGTCAATGAACTTCTGCTTTGGCATAATAATATTTTTAATTTAATTGCTTAAAAAATGTGCTTGCTTACAACTGATTGTTGTTGTTTTTTATTAGTTTTTTATTTTCCAAAACTTACTCAGTCCCATGTTGAGCCAGGTTACTTGTTTCTGTGTGCGGTTTGTCCACAGGGGAATGATGAAGTCTTCCATTGTTACAGCGACCAGAGCATTAATGCTGGAGGACACTGTGCTGTGAATCAAAGGGTCATCCTCAGACTTTGAGAGCAACTTTGATTGTTTGCTACTCTACAGCTATTGGAAGGTCTTATTTACTTTATTTACTTTATTTCCTTTACCTTCATAATTGGACATATACTTTTGGGGCCTCACTGAAAAAACATCAAACTACGTTGTACAAAGTATATAGGTCAAAATCTAGGTCAAAACACATATTAAATGTAAATTCTGCATTTCCGTCTCAATTAAATTTTTGTTGCTAGTTAAGAAAAAACTGTAAAAGTTAGGACAGTGTTTTTATGCCAGGGCACTCCCATTGAATATGTTACCAAATGATACAATATTGAAAAAATATAAAGATTTAAAAAGTTACTGTTACATCCTATTTACCATACCCTTAAACTGCTGGGTTATATTTTCTACTCCATTGCTGGGTTTTCTTAACCCCAAGGCTGAGTCAACAGATTGTCTCATAGATAATAATGATTTGACATTTTCCCACCTTTCATCTGGTCTACCCAGCAGTCTGGGCCAAATCTTCTCAAACAACCCAGGAAAATGGGACACATTTTTTCACTTTAACTTCATGATTTTATCTGAAACTTTCTACAATTTAATCATTTTGTGCTAGTTGAGGTTAATCTTATTACTAAACAAACTTCTGGTATATATGCTCTCAACTGTTTGTAACTATCTGCTTAAATAAATGAACATTGTGCTTTTTTATGCATCTTAATGTGCCTTATATAAATTCACATAATTTGGGTTTGTTTTCATATTTTTCAAGCTCTATTTGTCACAGAGGAAGGTTCTAATTTTAGCTGTATATTTGACTTCTCTCTTTGTTCTTCCCTCTCACAGTGCAATCTCCAGCAGACTGCAGTGTCTACAGCCCTGAGCTCATAGCGTGAGAACTCAACACTGAAGGTTCTGTTCACAATCTCAAATGTAAGTTAATATACATAATATTATATACATAATAATATTATATTTTATGTCAAGTCCCTGTCGAAGAAGTGTCACCTGATGTATTTGATCTGTAAATATGATAATTTTTCTCTCTGTCCCCACAGTTGAATTTCCTATGACTGAACTAAACTAACTCAGTGCTCAGGCTTCTGTCACTTTAAGTTGCTACAAGCAAGAAATACTACAAGAGGGACATTTTTTATCTATTTGTTTGTAATGCTGAATTAATAATGTGCAGATAATGCTTTTTAAAGTAACACATACTTCTTGAATAGCACTGTGTGGTCATTACAAGTATTAAACACATTAATTGAATGAGCTGAGGAGAGTAGTTAAATATAGTGACGCAAAGGATTTTTAACTCTACACATTTTTGTATGTTAAGCTATTTTACATTTATCAACATGTGGTAGTTCACAGTACGATCCATGCTTATCTTAAAGATAACACATACTGCACATTCATGTTATGTCATTCATGTTATTCTTGTACTTAATGGGTCATTGATAAATGTCCTTGTTTGTGAAAGGCCTCACCTAAGAGTCCCACTGTATGCAGCTGCCACAAACAGGCCAGGGACTCCAGGATACGAAGCCAGGATATCCATAACCAGATATGGAAGGAGCTGTGGGAATGGGCTGTTATTATTAAGGAAAATAACCGAAATACTGTGATATCGCATTGCCAAAAGTCTCACAATAATATCATGGACCATCACAATATATCGCTAAAAAATGGAGAGAACTACTTAGACCACAGTTTAAGTTCAGACTACATGAACTGCTAAAAACACTTTTAAATCTTAATTCTTCTTTGGATTGGATTGGATGCATTTCAAACCATGTCAAAGCATTTAATGTATTATTTAGAATTTTGTTAAGCTCCACAAAATATTACAATACCAGTTGCAGTAAGAGATCTGGCTATCGTTACATCCCTATTTATTATACGTAAATAGTAATATAATAATATAAAAGGAGACAGATAACATGCATTTTTTGTATATTTCACCTTATATGAGACTGGTCAATAAAAAGAAAGAAAGAAGAATAGTTACCTGGTCATAAGTAGAGACATCACCATTTGTAAACGGGTCACACATCTTGTAAATTGAGTACATGGTTAGACCAGTCAACATTGCCAGGCTCACAGTCAACCACAGCCCCACCATGTTCACATACAAAGACCTGAGACAGATGACATTACACAAGATAGGACTTGCCCTTGGTTCTGTGAAAGTATTACCTTAAGTGCACACTTACATCTTTGCATGTCCCAGCGTTTTACAGGAGATGTAGCGTTGCACCTGGGACTGGTTTATAGAGTATATTGAGACCCACATTATGCTGCCTCCAATGAGAATACTCCAGAATGAGTGCCGCATTCGAGGGTCTGGGTTAAAGCTATGGCAAAAAGCACAAAGTCACAAGGTCCCATTACCTATGTCAGGTTTACTGTATTTAGGGAAGCAACTAAATTCGTGATTGTACCAAAATTACTACTCAGAATACAAATTGCGAGTAAGTGTATTCTGCTCAGTTGGTGGTATTCAGAATACATTTACTTTTCTAAAATCAAAGGAATACGTTGCGGTATTTTATGATGCACACATGTAATTGCAATTACAGGTTCAAACTACACAGCATTAGTAATAAAAACAGAAAACCCCAGTGTTGTGTACACTTGGAAGTTTTGCTTCAAAATTAATGACTAATAACTAATAACTCATAGCCCTATTTTAATCCTATGTCACATTTTTAGACTATATATAATGCAACATACTTACTGCAAAAACTAAAATCTAGCCAAATTAAGATTGCTTGAATTAAGAAAATGTTATCATGATCTGAGTTATTGTCACTTGAGAAATAAAATTATCTACCAATGGAACAAGATTTTTTGTCTCTTGTCCTGTACTCACTCAAATGTTTTCAGACGTCCTCCTTCTCTTGCATCTTCAAAAACCTGTGTGAGGCCGCCCCGTAGCACTGCTCCTCGTGCTATGACAGCCACAAAGCCAACCAACATCACTACCATCTGCAGCACATCAGTCCAAATGACTGCTTTCAGACCCCCCTGTGAGAAGAGCCGCAGTCAAGCGAGCACTGATGTTAATATTACAGTGAAGGTGGTGGTACCAACTAGTTTCATGACTATGTTAATGTCATCTTCATGTAAAATATTACTAAAGAATGATACTTTTTTTCCTATTTAAAATGTGTTAATAATTTCAAGGTCAACATGCTCTCACTAACATTGCTCTTAACAAAATAATGGAAAACAAGTTAATATTGTATTGTATTTTACCAACCAAAGTGCAGTAAATGATGCACACTGCTCCTGTGGCCACAAGCACTCCCCATAGATCCAGTCCTGTGACTACATGATACAAAAATGATTCATTTATATTTGCACTATTTGTAGCAGTAGATATTATCTGTCACAAGAACTTACTTTGATTTAGAGCGAGTGCTGGAGCATAGATGACCAGACCGGTGTACAATGCCTACAAGACATTAGTTGATTAGATTGCAGCAGAGCAGGCTTGCATTCATATTAAAGGAAATGAAAGACCAGCAATCAGTTTTGCATAGTCATTACACTAGAGCCATTTACAATTACATGACAAAAAACAAACTTAAACACTAGACACCTAATAATAGCATGTGATTTATAGTACATTTCCATACTTGATGTAATCATGCAATTTTATATAATTATTTTAGAGGTTTTTGTTACCGTTTGTACAATGTACATTGATGTCCCAATAATCCGAATGGGTCGACTAAAGCGCAGCCCCAAGTACTACACACAAAGACAATATATCGCACTCATGAGAAGGTTTCAAGTTAATATTATTCATATGCAAACAGACAATATTATGTAATATTCACACTAGCCCCAATGCTTTTTAAACATTAAACATACAAGTATTAGCATTAAGATTTCTTTTTTAAAAAATGTAAATAAACTTTGTTAATGTATGTGCACACTTCCCTCTGGTTTTGTAACTTATTACCTCATAGGCACTGGTGATCCCCAGTCGGTAAAACAGAGGCACAAAGATCTCTGCAGTGATAGTGGACATGATGGAATATGAAAAACCAAAGAGCCAAAAGGCAGCTCCAAAGCGGTAAGCCTCAGCAGGTGTGCCGATGACTGTGATGCCAGACATAAAGCTGGCAGTCAGAGACATGGCAACTGGCACGGCAGTCATTTGTCGTCCACCCAACAAGAATTCATCACTGGTTGTCTCCTTTCGACCTCGGATCGCCTGGAAAAGGCCAATGCCAGCTGCCCCCAAAATAGTCGCAGCAAAAACCACATAATCCCACACTGAGAACGTAGCTACTGGGCCACCAGTGCCAACCATGCTTAACAATACAGGATAGAAAAGGGTAAAATATACAAATGTAAAATATACAAATGTTATGTAAAAACAAACTTAAAACATAAGAAATTCACTGCACATTTTTATCCAGAAGTTCAAAAGAGGTTCTTGTCCATGTACACTTCCTCTGATCAGTGAGAAAAGCCAAAGACCAGCAAAAGATGTCTATAAAGATTAGTTGCGTTGAGTTAATCATCTATCAAGGACACGCACACTGCCTGTAGTCTCGTCAGTTCTTGTTAAAGATGAGGATTCTTTTTGTCCTACTGTTTTCCCCTCACTACACTGATGTTAAGAAAATATGGTAACTTTTCTTTCAACACAAAAGCACAGATAAGATTTGTCACTTATACTCCTGCCACTCCTAGCGTAAATGGTCAGCAGTTTCTTTGTCAGCACTTCCTTTGATAGAGATAACAGTTAGCAGACTTACTAATATTGTATTTCCTACAAGACCTTTTGAAATTTCTATTTCGTTGATTTGTTCAAATTAGTTTTGAGTACAAGGCTTGTATTATTGATCAGTTTCACCAACATCGTGAGTCAGAACCCTTAAGAAGACAAGAATTCCCTGTACTATTATTTTAATTATTATTGAAACTACACTGCTACATAGACAATACAACTTTTATAGTACTTGAAATGGCGAGTAAATTCTTTGAAAGTTAATGTGAAAGCACTGTTAATGTTTGAGTTGATGACTGAGAAGAGCAAACAGCAACTTTTCCATACCATTAGAGACTGTAAATATTAGCTACAAGAACAAGACTTTGAGTGATCTTTAGGCTTTGCTGACTCTTATGGTAAATTAGTCTAGGAATCATAACATAATTTTGCACCATGTCACAGTTTTAGTTAATTTGTATTCACATTACTGTTAAATGGTTTGGAAATGTGAAATCCAGGTTAAAGTCTACTTGTCACCACAATTGTATGAGGTAGGTCTATGACACCTAGTGGACACTCCTCAGGAAATAGTGGCAGCTTGTGTAAAGGTTTGACCTGCAGCAAAATGAATGTATTCATTATGCAGTTCTCCTCATGAACGTCATCATAAGCTCAATGGCCTCTTACATTTTTCATGTCATTGACTTAATGGACATTGTCTTTCCTAAAAACAAAGATTATGGCTTATTTGAATAAAGATGGATTTTAATGTTTGTATAAATAGTGTTTCATCAGGTTCCCAAACCTCAGTTTCTTCCACTCTGCACTAACAGGTGAGTGTAGACAATGTACGGTTTGTGGTTCATTTAATTGTCTTTTTTCAAACGCTTATGTGTGTGGTGTGATCATGCAGGTTATCCATAGCGCTGAATCATCTTTGTTGACATGGAAACGTCAATGTTTGGCTTTTGGCTGTTTATTCTATTCAACCCAGCTTTCCCCATGTGTGTACCATCTGACTTCACCCTGTTTGTAGAGAAACCTGAGTGTAACTTCTGTGTAGCAATCAACACCACAATATGCATGGGATATTGTCACACAAAGGTATGCATGCATTTATTTAGTGACGTTATGATGACTACATATTGTTATTTCTCACTATGTTTTATTGTGGGATCCAGGACAACACTTTGCGGGGACCATTGCTGAAACAGAAAATCTGTACATATGACAAAGTGGAATACCGCACTGCCTTGCTCCCGGGTTGTGCTGGTAATGCCATGTTTACATATCCTGTGGCCATGAGCTGCCACTGTGGTGCCTGCAGGACAGCGAACCATGAGTGTGCCCACAGGACCAACCCTGGTTTGCGACAACAGGGTCAGTCCAGTTGTACTAAACCAATTTGGCACATTTACCCATATTTTGAGTCAAAGTGATTGCTCTAACCCTTTCTAATTTTGTTTCCACACAATTAGAAAGATTAGATTAGATTAGATTTCTGTGCTGTTTGTGTTGTGTACGCTATTGTTCATATATAATTAAGTGTGTCTATGTAACCTTCACTGTCCATAAACTGTTTGTGATGTCTTATCTTCCTGTACATGACTCCCAGGCCTCCTCTGTATATCCTGAATGTCCCCTAATTAAATCAAAAGCCTTTAAATAACTCTTTGACTAATCTGTGCTTGACCTAATCACATCCTGTCTTGTACGGTAACTTTCTGTTTACAAAATAACACCCACGCGACCATAACGCCCCACAGTGTCACCTCTGTTGTGAGGCTATGGCTATATTTACATCAGTGGTCACTGTGAAAGGCACGTGATCAGTGACACACCTAGTAACACTTTGACTCTAGTGGTGCTTGTAATCCTGGCCTGGAAAAGTCGTATAACTTCCACAAAGCTGTAACTGTAAATGAGCTCACAGCCATTGATTGTCTGTTGACACTCGTCTGTTACTATTATTTCTCATCAATACTATTTGAAAAAAAAACAGAGAGAATAAGGCTATCATGTTACTCTGTGTGATGTGGCTGTCATTATCTGTCAGGCTACAATATATCATAATATATTATATTCAGTAACATATATTGTACTTTTACTCCAAATCGACCAACTAATGGCACATGTGATATGAAGAACTGTGATACACATACCCACAATGCCTGAGGAGGTCATGAACTGAGTGTTACATGGCCAGCCAATCAGGGGATGACTATGTGACCCCCAAGGGACCCTAAGAATAAACTTCTGTATATGGAAATGAAAGAGAAAAATAGCAGGGGAAAATAAACAGACAAACCAAGGGGAGTTTCTCAAAACTTGACTTTATTCCACATTATACCTTTGCAGTCATGAGTGCCACTGTAACACATGAATAACCTTCAGTTTTATAGCCTGGTTATGGTATGATCACACTGATGTACTGCGCAAATGGTTTGAATTCTTGTTTTAGAAACCCTAATACCCAAACGGATAACGATGTACCTGACATGGAATTTGCTTCCATCAGCAGTCCAACAGAACCAGCTGCCACATAGCGATCACGCTTTCAAACAAATGTACCATTTGTTTGTGTTCTGTTTATTCACCCGTAAAGATATTTTATATAACAGTGGCCACTATTTTGACTGTGTAATGCTTATGCAGGACCATAGTACATATACAGTAGATAATCTTATTATATGCCTTTAGATAGTTTTATACTAAAGTGTTTGATATCTATTTTATTTTAATCATAACGTCAAAACGTCTCCCATTGAGTAGCAGCATGGTTTTTGAACACTTTTCCCAGGGGCTTGTACCAGCCTGCAGAGCTGCCTTCTCTGGTTGCAAAGCTGTTAAAGCCTGTTATAGAATCTTTTATCCATTTTTCTCTCCATGCATTAGCAGTGGACATTTTCTTAGTTCTACTGGCAAATTGTTTTCATAAAATCATGAATAGGCTCATCGCAAACATAATCGTGAGAATGGCCTGCAGCCAGGTAGCACCTTTGTGTGAAGCCCACAGAACCGGTTCTAAAATGTTCTAGATCCAACTGTTACATAAAATCCCTTTGTTGTAAGCATTTGGATTTACATAACCACAACACTGACTTTATTTTGTTGAGACTACTCCCAAATACTTTTCATCAACATTCAAGAGCATCTAGATGTTTCTGAGGATTACTTTTATGTAATCTACAGAAGTGAGTCACATCTTGCACCACAATGATGTCATGCTGATGATAACCAGCTTTGGCCACTTGAACCATCTGTGCTTAGCCTCATTGTGCTAAACTAGGAAAACTCAAATAACTACAGTACTCTTTCCCCAAGAAAAAAATATGCATTTTAGACAAAGGGGATGAAAGTAAAGCAAATGGAACAATGGTTTTCATTTTCCACCCTTTACTTGCTATAACACAGTATGATTGGTGGAAAATAAGGAGGAATTTGTAAAACAACCAATAATCGCCAAGAAAACCTCCATTTCAGCCAATGAACGTAGCGCACTGGATTTCCTGTTAGAGCTGAAATGGTTTGGGGGAGGGACTATTCGGATGCCAAAAGAATGACTAGGAGTCCGCCCACCGGCTTAAAACTCAATGGAAATTTCCAGCGCTCTTACTCGCAAGTATATCAGCGACCGTGACGGGTGACTGAAGGACAAAAAGGCACAACAAACGTGAAGAAACGCCTAAACAACGCAACTTTTTGGTGAGTCTTCCTATTTTTACATTTCGCTATTACAATGCGTGCTATACGAGATTTTACAGTCAGTGGATACAAGTTTTCTATGGTCAAACAAATGACCGCTATCAGAAAAACCACCGTGCAGGGAAATGTCTCTAGAATGATCCTTTCCTCCTGCTTCATCCATCTAAATGTGTGTAGATACGTTTTAAGGATGTATAGACAAGGTTCCGTAACATTTATTTACACATTTAAGTGAAGTAGAAAAAAAAAAAAAAAGCCGATTAAAATGAGATACGCCTACTGCAATAGCCATCTTGAATACCCTTTGGTGTCTTTTGTTGCTTATATATGATTTAGTAGGACATATTTTATTTTAATTTCTATCCTCTGAGCGAATGGAGAAGGGCGGCTCGCCATTTTTGGCTTTCCGGTATGTGAAGTCGCCGAGGGCACGCCCAGGGGTTGTACTAGTGTCCCATGACCTGCTGTATTTAGATAAGCCAAGGGCTGTTGTAGGATAATCTTTGGTACAGTACACAGGAACCTGTCCACAACTTCCTAGTAACTTATATTCTTTATCTTATTCCAGTTTACTGTATTTATTGAACCAACTAGAATCTCCTGCGTTTTGCACATCTTCCTGACCTTCTACCTAAATCATCATGTCTCAACAGCAGATCAGGTAAGTCTTGAATGAATTAATAAATTATACCATACTTTAAAATTGTAATGTTTCTCATTTTAGTGTTTAAATTTTCATTTCTCTTTTCAGCCTCCCAGCCAAGCTCATCAATGGGGGCATTGCAGGCATTGTTGGTGTCACTTGTGTCTTTCCCATTGACTTGGCAAAGACCAGATTACAAAATCAGAGAGCGGGCCAGCAGGTGTATAAGAGCATGTAAGTCTGATTACTAACATTCTGTTGTACAAATATACTGGCCATTTTCAATTTTCTGGTATCTGTGACTCTGCATTCTATAGGTATCACGTTAAAGCCTACAATAACAGCTATGTATAATGAGGAATGTATTGCAGAATTCCAGACCACCTGAGTCATATGTGGCTATATGATTTGGCATTGCTCACTTTATTTCTCTATTAGATTGTAATGAATTGCACTGATCAGACTGTGTGTGATCACTTAAACTGATTTGGTCTTTTCCACAGGATGGATTGTCTTGTGAAAACTGTCCGAACTGAAGGCTACTTTGGAATGTACAGAGGTAAGACTCTTAACAGATGTGAATGTTTCAACCATAGATTGCTGTAAAGAACATATAGAGCGGTCAGTTGTCTAGCTTATTACTACTAGTGTATAGCATTCTAGGGATCAAGTAACATCTGCATGAATCCCCTAATATTTAAAACAAATGTTAAAACCCATAACAGTCTATATGCTATATGTAATATGTTGTGTAAATTATTTCTAAATCATGCAGTTATTGATTACATGTATTTGGTCATCAATTTGACTTCTTATGGAAGTGGTTTAGTTAAGGTGGTAAAGAATAGACCTCTGCTTTTGTGAGGAATGCTGTTGTTTGCATCTGTGTTTTTCATATTACAGACTTGGGTCCCCCTGGGATATTGAAGGCTAGCCGATAAGGCGCAGCCACGCTGGAGGCAAATCATTAAATGGTTCTTACAATATTGCTCTATTTAAAACTCTAGGCACACGTTTATGTTTTGCCATCTCTTGTCCTCTTGTCTGTCTATTTTGTGTCCCATCACTATCTCTTAACATCCCTAATTTCAGGACTGTGCATTGTGTCCAAGTAGACCTTGGGTGATCTTTCTTTTTCTTTTTTTTTTTTTAAAAGCTGCCATTTGCCAAGATTTACCTCAAGTCTCAAGACACAAAAACAGCCCAGAATCTGTCCTGTCTTTTCGCTTCACTAACACTTCTGTTATCCTATTGTTCTTAACATGGTCACTTTTTAGTTTCTTCTCTATTTGACTCAAATGTGGTTTCTCATTTGCTTTCAATTCTTTCAGTATTTTTTCTGTTTCACTTTCTTCCTAACCATATTTATGTAACATCTTGATGTCCCTCATATTTATCCAGATCAAAGCTCCTTAAACTGTATATTCTAGTACATTTATATTAATGTAACTGATTATGTATTGGGGTAATGATGACTATGGAGGGGAATGGTTGTGTTGTAAATGAACATATTATTACGACACAACTGTTAACAGTAAGTTTGTCTCCCATCAGGTGCTGCTGTCAACCTTACTCTGGTCACTCCTGAAAAGGCCATCAAACTGGCTGCCAATGACTTCTTCCGTCATCACCTTGCCAATGACGGGTAACCTAACATTTTTCAAATCCTTTTTTTCCCCTATTTTCTTGAGATTTAACTCAGATGTATGTACTATCAACAGAAAGGGACTGACTGTGTTGAAAGAGATGATGGCAGGGTGTGGAGCAGGCATGTGCCAGGTCATTGTCACCACTCCAATGGAGATGCTGAAGATACAGCTGCAGGATGCTGGCAGAATTGGTGAGTAACTTGTTGAATATTTGCCAAATGCAAATTTAGACTTGTTGATTTGGCATGCATTTACTTAAGATATTGTTACAACTTTCTACAGCTGCCCAGCAACAAAAGCCTGTGATGATGGCTCCAGTAAAGCTTGGGACCACAAATACCCTTCTTAGTCGCTCTTATAACTCTGGCACGGTGGTGACTGCCCCACGTGCTGTGTCTGCTACACAGATCGCCAAGGAGCTGCTACAAACCCAAGGCATCCAGGGGCTCTACAAGGGACTGGGGGCAACACTCATGAGGTAAGCTTCGTAATGTTTTTAAATGGACAAATCATTTTCCCATTTACATGTTCTAATGCCATTTTGTTATCTTTTAGGGATGTCCCATTCTCTATTGTGTATTTCCCCCTCTTTGCCAACTTGAACCGTCTAGGGAGGCCCAGTGCAGAGGAGTCGTCTCCATTTTACTGGGCCTTCCTGTCTGGCTGTGTAGCTGGCTCTTGTGCTGCTGTAGCTGTCAATCCTTGTGATGGTAAGATGTGTTCAGTGGGCACTTGTCTACTATGTTTGTGAATCTGAGCATTAACTTAATTTATGTTGTTCCTAGTGGTGAAGACAAGGCTGCAGTCTCTAAACAAAGGGACAAGTGAAGAGTCATATAATGGGGTTATGGACTGCATCAGGTGAGATATATTAAGTGATATACAATGATTTTTGCTTTGAATGTGATCCAATAATTTACATTGTTTTTTGTTCCCCGTAGTAAAATTATGCGGAAAGAGGGACCTTCTGCCTTCCTGAAAGGAGCAGGCTGCAGAGCCCTGGTCATTGCTCCTCTGTTTGGAATTGCACAGGTTATGTACTTTGTGGGAGTTGGAGAATATATCCTAGATAACTCACCACTGAGGCTGCTTGATTGAATATGAACCTTAGAAGATGGCTGGCTATGCATCGGGAACATCTGAGTCAAGACAACTGTACACCTGGCAGCTACCATTGGTTTACATTTTTTAAAGGTCTTGTTGGACTATTTTGCAAAACTTCAGGATTGTAAAAAGCCTGATTTTTGCCTTCAGTATGGTCTGACCGCTGTGTTGCACTTAACACTTGTGACTTACTCAGCAGGCCAGGGCAAATGTTTGCACTTACAGCTAGCCTTACCAATTTGGGGGACCTGTTCCAGTGTTACTCATATGTCCCTAAAACGGTCTAGTTCCGTTCCCTCCATGAGGGAAATCGTAAACCAGTTATAAATGTATGTCTACATTTTTGTGTTTAATACCTGAATGGAGTGGCTTGCAGTACTTTTTTTGATTGCAGTCTTTTATAACAGACTTGCAATTAAGGTGTTTAAAAAAAAAACACACATTATTTATTGCTAAGAGATTTACTTTGACCTTTTACACACCATTTCAAGTTACTGTGAGTCTGACTTATCATTAACCTTCCATTAATACTGGGACCATTCAATAAGTGTTCTGTGTCCTCTTCAATACTTGATATTGTTTTAAAGTAATCTGAAAACTTGATGCACCATCAATTTGTCTGTTACAAAATATATGTGTTCTATATGCATACCATTTGTTTGACTTGTGGTTTATGCCTTAAAAGAGATTGTGCTCTTGGCCAAACATGCATAATTTGCAACAGAATATGTGAAAACTGTTTTATATGTATAAAAGCTTTTTGTACAATGTAAATAAAAAAAATGTACATGATACTGAATTGTTTGTTTTGTGATTTTTTTATTTATATTTTTTTTTATATTTTGTTGTTTGGTAGAGTATGTAGTCAGTATAATAGAGTTGTAATAATCTCAAATAAGTATGTGTGGTGAAGACGGGATGTTTTGGCTCTTATCAGATCAGAGAGTTGATCTAAAACTCTGCATACAAAGTTCACAGTTGTGACAGCAGTGCTGCTGTTACAGAACCTCCAGGATGCCAAAATCACTTCTATTGGCAACAAAATGCAAAAAAAAAAAAAAAACATCAAATAAGTAGACATGGATTAAAGCACCATACTTTAATTGGAGTTAAAATGTGTTCAAACCATGTTATACTAGACAAAATGTATCACTCCAACAATAATATGTACACCACAGAGATTCAAACAGTGAGTAAGTGTCACAGTACAGAACACATCATGCTCCCATGAGCTCATAACTTAAAAATTACCTGGAGGATTTACAAATTGACAGTTTATCATAAGACCCCGCCCTCCCTACTATCTGGGTGTGAAAATTAAGTCTACACTGCCTCATTGTGCGTCAGTAAATATGTAAGTGGTGACAAACAAGCACGTATACAATCACATGGAAAGGATAAAAGTGCAGTAGCTGGAGGCATATCTTTGTGGATTAACAGGCACAGTTTGTTCTGCAAAGGGAGGCTAGTCCTCAAAACATTACACTAAGCACATTTATGTGGTTTAATTAACAAAAGGCCTATGTCATTTTGCTTTGAAGTAGCAAGTATGAGCATGTAACACATTTTATATAACAGTTTATATTTACAAGTTTCAACATTCGTCTTGTTCAAAAAAGGCTTCGTTTGTGTGTAGTGTTGTGTAGCTGTTGAGAGGCACTGCAGTTTGACAGAAAGATGCTGAACACTCAGGAATGTGTCAGAAGGATACTAACTTTTATGTAAAAAAGAAAAAAAAAGATTTGTGTAAAAGAATTATGGTTGTATCCTAGTTTTGTGCTGGTGTCCAGTGTATTGCTTCCTATTTGGTCCAAAATGTACTTTATATCTATCAGTCAAATGTAATTCAAACTTTTGCAGCCATTTCAAATTAAAGGGCCTAGTGGGGGCCATGACTCCTATATGACCTCCCTGCTGTTCCTTATGGCACAACAGAGAACCATACTGAAGATCATACCAATAATCTGAAATGAGAGAGGTTACTGTGTAAGATAAAAATCACCATGTATGAATTAGATCAATGAACAAAATGACTGAATGAAGTGTGAAAATAAACATACCATCACGCCAGCTATACCAATTCCAATGTAGCCAATAATATGCAGCTTTGAATTGAAGAAGTCTGTAATTGCAGTTAGACAATCCTATAAAAAGACACTTAAATGAGTGACAACTTAAGTTCAGTTAGACATAACAGACCAAATAATACTATTATCTACAAATGTTGTAGCAATTACTACTCCCTCCACTAATTTGAATTTCTTAAACACAAGGATAAAAGTACATTTAATCATACCATTTCTTAACTCATTTTCATGAGAAACACTTTCATAAGAAGCTAACAAGCAAGTCATTTACAAAGTAGACAATGAAACATGCACTACTGCCATCTAGTGACCAATGCGAATAACAACTCAGATTGGACCTTTTTGTCTGCCTCTTCAGGACACAGAGATGGATCAGGTGTAGAGCCTCCACAGCAGTCCAGCTGGTAAGATAAACAGATTTTTGTCTATGTGTTTACTAGTTTAAGCTTTAATATTAGATGATCAAATAAAAAGATACCCACTGTTTTGTGATAAATATTTGCTATTACAGTGCCATTCCCATTGGTGTTGTCGGTGATAGAACTGCTGTAAAACTTCTGAACTTCCTCAACAATCTGTATTATAAAAATACACATTTTAAAAATATATATTTTAGTAAGTCAAACACACACGAATCAGAAAATGCATAGTTACCTGTTCTTTGTTGATAAAACCAAACACACCCGCTGCAATCTCGGCTCCAAAGATGATCAGAAGGCATGCAAAAAACTTGAACAAAGAAAAATATTTAGGAAAAATAGAAACGCATTACGTGACAATAATGTATGATCAAACAATGTAAGAGAAATAGACCAATTTTATTTATTTAGCTTTTGGACCAGACAAACAGACAAGACAATACTACCAGTCAGTTCAGTGTGAATCAGTTTATGTAATAATAACATTTAACACTTACTGAAGCTAGAAGACACTGCGACTCCCTTACAGCTCCAAAACATCCAAAGAATCCAACCACCATCATGAGACCTCCAGCCCCCAGAAGAATGTACACCGCTGGGACAAACAGAGAGAAAGGGAGAGAAATATACCTGAAGTAATATTCTTTACTGAAGCTTGAAAAGGTAGGGTTAGCTTAGGTGAAATTCAACGTTTCACCAGGAGATGTCAGCATTGTCCCATTCTCCCATAGCTTTGTGGGAGTTTTATTTATAATAGTTTGCTTGTTATATTGAGTAGGAAGGAGGTGATATTGCAGCTTTGATTCTCCCTCCCACTGTACAATGTGATAATCAGCTCACTCCAGCCTTTGATCATTTACAAATGCATTTCACCTAGTGATTTTAAATTGGCATTTTGGTTTATGAGTTAACAAAAAGTAACCTCTGTCAGTGTAATAATGCCAATAGGCTTGCTATTAGAATACATGCATATATTCTAGTCAATAAATTATGACATAAAAGATGACCCTGCAAAACAATAACAACAATAATAGCCTGGTTTCAATGAATGATTACAGCGCCATGTCCAGACAAGTCTCATTAAGGGTTCTTCCTCTCTTTACTCAGACTGTGTGTACACTTGTAGGCTATCTATGTTGCCCCAAGGTATCTCCTTAGCATCTGTTTACTCAGTGCCAATTCAAAATTTCTCTTTGTCCTAGCTATAATGTCGTCATCTCCAGACTCCCCATCTTGACTACCAGGTTTCTGTAACCAAACACCATCCATACCCCCGCCCCACCAAAGGACTCTGCTCTGGGCCTCATCAGTGCCATCGACAGCAACCACCAAGCCAATTTAATTAATCCACAAGGGGGAGGACACAGGCTGTTGTTTTGTTGCTGCTACACAGAGCTAAGGACGAAGATATTATACTCTATCCAAGTGACGAATGACAGGGATTCAAAGTAGACTGGGAACATACGAGCCTGTCTCCATTGTATATACAAACTCCTTTAATAGGAAGGAATTGGGATCTTAACCTGTAATGTTTTCCATCACATTATTTCCACTTCAAAGCTTGATGATATAGCAGCCAAAAGGCGGAGTATGGCAGATAAATACAACATGGAACTATGAATATAACATTGTGGCAGTTACAAACTATGCACTATGGTCCTTTGCACATTAGTTTATAAACAAAAACATCTACTTTTAAAAGATTTTTCTCAAATTTCTCTATAGTCTTCCTTCACTGTGATTAACTCATTGGTCTTGATGCATCATTTGAAAATTCTGCTCCTATAGGATTAAACACCAACTCTGATTGCGAGACATACCCACATTTTTACTATTAACTGACCTAGAAGCTATATTTTTATTATTTCGTATGTATGTTCAGTCATTGCTTCAAATGTCCCTCTTCCTTATTAATTATAATATACTGATGCAATAATGAATTAATATGTTGCAACTGCAGATCCCCTTGTAAGGCCACCAGTGTCGGGAAAGACAAAATGTCAAATCTTAGCTAGAAACTGCATTTGCATTTCAAATTAAGCTAAAAGATAAAGTTGAGGTACTTGCATAGGTGTTTGCATATTCAAAAGTATGAGAAATATTGTGGCATTGGCTATTTGATATATTGCCAAAAACAGGTGTGTAAACCCAAGTTTGTTATCATTGTCTATTGGTGTCACCTGCCCCACCCAACCTGCTAGCTCTGCCATGAGAGGGGCTGCTCCTTCTTTGAATCTGATGAAGTGAAGTCACCATTTTAGGTCATGGTCTGAACGGGCGAAACAAGAATAGGCTTCATTCTGATCCTCTGCACCCACAGCCAGAGAGAGAGGGACACAGGGACTATTGTGTGCATTGATACTTACAATGAGTGAACTACTGTATGTTTTAAAGCCAGTTGTCTTTATATGAGGAGGTTTCAGGAAAGGATGTCTGTCTGAAACCATTGAAAAGCCATCTGAGCACATAATAGGACATTTAGAAATGTGTCAGCTTAGTCACCTTCAATTTAGCAGAATTTATCTTAATGATATTTTCTTGTTGTGATCTAGGGTTATTTATGAGCTCTGTAGAGGTCATGTCTAAATGTGGGACAAATTACTGATTGAAAGGCCTATTTTTAGTATAGTTAAAAAGCAAAGTTATAAGTAAAAAATGTTGCCTGTGTTTAGTCTCTATTATAGTACCAGTTCAGTAATTTACATTTGCTGCAAAGACATAATAATATTGTTACTGCAATATTTAAAATATTGAAAATGTTTTTTGTTTTTTTGTTTTTTTACACATTTTTGATAGGTCCAAATGTTTAATATTTGGAGTTCTACTAATATCCAATAATATACTTACCTATAAAGAAGGTGTCTGGGGCGCCATCTCCAGTGAGCAGGTCCACAGTCCCCGGGTCAAACCTGAGCCATAGACCCACTGCCAAAACCAGGAGGCCTGACAACTATAACACAATCACATGACAAACGTACATTCGCACAGCCACAAACCCAAAGCCTTCATTAACATTTACAGCGCCATTTTGTTTGGCTCTGTCTCACATTCTCACCAGTCAAAGAGCTTTTGATGCACAGGCTGGGTTCCCACTGTGTCTTCTTTTATTCTAAGCAAGTGCTGCCAGATATGTAAATTACTCACTTTAAAGCATGAAAGAACGTCCAAACTCAAATTCACTTAAGATGGGACAGGCTAGTTGGAGTTTGGGATTAACAACAGGTTCATTGAGTTTTATTGAGTTGTATTTACAGGTTATAGTCACTATATAACCTGTTATATGAGAGCTGAATATTATACTGCTCACTTGGAAAGAGAAAGTAAAGGTAGAAAGGTACAATGAAAAGTTTTTTTTCTTCATATGAAAAACAGAAGGTTATACATCAAAACCAATGGATGGACCATGGAAAGTCAATCTGACCCTCGTCTAATCTTTATGTTAACTAAAACTGCTCAAATGTAAACAAACTAAAATAAATGTCTAAAATGTCATATTGAATACTTAAGTTCCATATCTCATATCTCATCCTCCATCACTGGGAGCATCTGTGGTTCATCTCCCATGGTGCATTTGGGCCACTGACAGCCTCTTTGGTGCCAGGGTGACGTAACATGTGCTGTGATTGGCTGCTTGGCCACAGTTCACCTCAGAAAAATAACTGAGTTTGGTATGGTGCGGGAGGATCACACTACTCTGCCCTATAACAATAAGGCTAGTGTGTGTTTGGTTTGGACATAATAAGTGATACATTAAAATGTGAACACAGAGCACATTATCCCTAGTGCTCTTATCATTTCTATCACATCAGTTTCTATAAAGATAATCAGGGATAATAATCATAAAAATTAATCATTAAGATTTTACTATTTATTTTGACAGTACTTCTAGATCATTAAACAATCACCATGTACAAAAAAAGAAGAAAAAACAAACAAACAAACAAAAAACAAGTGGGTGTTCACTGGAAACCAAGCAGCTGTATTACAGCCAACGTGTCACAAAATTACATCCTACACAAATTATGTTTTGTGGCTTATTGCATTATCAAATTGAATTATTGACCTCGCATAATACAGGGACGCTAGAAGGCTGTAATAAATGAGGTATGGATGATTCTAGCTCTTGTCTGATATGATTTCCAGATAGTAGGAGTCTCACATAAGTCACAGAGCAGTGAACAGCAGGTGCATACGGGCTGCACCACCTTCAAACCCGCTCTGAGCTGATACAGTCTAAACACACACGGGGAGCGCTCTGTTGAAGATGTAAACATAGAACACGGAGGAGCATACACGACTTTTATGGACACAGCTTCAGTGAAAGCCATGCAAAGACAAATAACTAGGCTTATTTAAAACAATGACATAAACCACGCAATGCACATATGAAGGTTTCCATGCAAATACAACTGAATAGCGCCTCTTACCCAGAAGATGAAATTGAATACAAATAGCAGATATTTCACGCATTTCATCCCGCCCTGGACTTTGCTCATGGTGTCACCTGATCCGTTGATTTCACCAGAAGAAAAATAAACAACAGTGATATCCTTTGATGCAGTCAACCCTCGTCTGTTGCAAATGAGATAGAGATGACCTGCTGCACCGCTGCACAGTCAAATCCTTACGTGAAACGTGCGCACGCAGAATGGACACGCGCCGCCATGCCCCGCCCATACGTGCTGTGCACGTGAGTGAACGCAATGCTGTGTGTGGAAAGTGACTCTAGGCCAGACCTGGGCATCGTGCATCTTCAGGGCTTCACATGTCCTTTTGTTTGACTCTGCCCGTTTAAGATCATTTGGAATTACAAAATAAATTTAAAAAATTACAATGTTACTCATGGATGGACAAAAGCTATATTGCTTTTATTTTAGAGGTGTAGAGGAGAGGAGAGTTTTTTTTAAATTATATTTTTTAAGGCAACCTCATTTTTTCATAACATAACTGAGTCATAACATATGCTTTTACCAGTCTTACCAGCTTGTCAAAACAATGCTATTTACAGCTTTTGATAATGAAATACAATTAATATTATGCAGAATTGAGTTAAGCATTTTGGCCCAGCCCTCCACAATATTTTCTGTTTCTCATGTGGCCCCATGGAAAACAATAATTGCCCACCCCTGCTCTAGGCTCATGTGAAGTCCTTACAGAGCAGCAAGGCCCCCCATCAGTATTCTACATTTATCTTTGATGACTTTTAGACTAGCTCATGTCTTCTTCTTTTCTGTTTTTCTATGCACAGTCAGATGACCATACCGGTCCTTGGTAGGCATACCATGTTGAGTTTTTAAATGGTCTGTACTAGCATTTTTTACTTAGGTTTGATGAATTGCATCAATCAATAAGAGATCTAACTGCCGAACTATAATAGAATTAGAAACCAAGCCACAATAATAGACTATACAGGATTGCCATGTGTAACCTAGCCTAAAAATAGGTCTGCATGGCCTCAGTGTTGGATTTAGGCCTACATTTGTCCTTGTACTTATTGTAGGATGGCCTTCCTAAGATTTTTTCCAGTTCCTTCTCTATTTTCAGGAAATTATTTTTCCTCTCACACATGGAGCATGATAGTTGAACGTGCTCTGTCATCTTGTCCTTGAACGCCTAAGCACATCTCCCTACCATAGTATTTTCAATGAAAAAACAAATTCTTTAATTTAGTGCTACAGAGATGTGTAAATGTTTGAGTGTATGTGCTAAATTTTGTACTGATTTGCTTTCAGTCCTGCTGTGTTCAGAGTTGCAATGGGCCCTTTGTTTGTTGTGGAAATACAAGTTCAGTGTGCACCAAAAGCAGCAATAAGATTTCACAGGTAGATTTATGTATATTTTTTGTGTATGCTTCTGGAAAGCTATTGCAGTGGTGAACTTTAGACTAAGATATCCCCATTCCCAGATCACAGTGCAAAGTGTGGTAGGCGTTTGTCAGCTCTGAGTGTGCCCCATGAAGGCTGGGGGTCATCCTGGGTACTATGTCCACTTCTTCTCAGTGTTTGCATAACTTTAGTGTATGCTGATGTGGGAATGAACAGACAGTGACCCCCTTTTAGCTGGTCAAAATATCAGCGTTTCCATCAGTTTGGGTGGATCATGAGACCCAAGCATCACATTGCTTAGCCTACATTGTTGCTTTATCTTTCTGTGCTAAATCATATTGTGATATCCATACAACAGATCTGTCATTAACTTGGAAAAATCATATGAAAACTGTCCTATTTGGTTGTATGCCATTGTAATGCTGTAGCCTAATTATCAGGTCTGACTGGAAACATCTGCGGGCAACAAGGAGGTCTAAATACAATTATGTCTCAGCAGTACATTTTCTGTGCCTGAAATGTAAATAAAGAGCAATAACATAACCTGATCTTCAAATGGTGCAACTGGGAGTCATCCTTATGATGGATGGAGATGAGATTCAAGCCTAAAATGTGTCTATACTATAAATGTGTCTACTCTGTTTGTTAAAAGAAAATGTTAATTTAAGATGGTGCATTATTGCGTTCATAAGCTGTTCCTTCTAATGAATTCATGGATGTTTGAAGGGAGAACTGGACAACTGTTATCGATAACCAGGTGGCACTCCTTAGTTGGATAAGATTTGTCTCCATCTATTGTAAGAGGCACACATTACAGCAGGCTTAAAACAGGCCTGTAATAATGGCTCTGTTGTTTTTCTTCTGAAGGTCAAACCATGTGTGTGTTTTTTGTTTTTTTTAGCACACCACATTTCTAATCATAGAATGGACGAAAATTGGCTATGTAGACTAAAATTTGACATGTGCGAAACATTGGGGAAAAGAAGTAAACAACGCATGTGCAGTAAGCAGATACTTGGAGAAGAGTGAACTTTGATGAACAAGGTATAAAATCATATTAAACATTCACATAACATAACGTCTGGCTACTTAGGATAACAGTGTTTCGTAACTGTTTTAGAACTAGTCGTTATTTGTTGTGTTAATGTGTCGCATGTTCCTTTAAACCGGTAACCTGACTTTTTGCTTGTTAGATAACGTTAGCTTGTTTATGCGATCACACCAATACACGAAATGCGTTTATGTCATGTTAAATTTGAATATTTGAACATTAAACACATAATCTATTTTATCTTTGTTTGACTGATATTTTAATTTGTAGCCAACCAACTTTTCGACCCCTAGAGGGCAGCAGAGGCGCATGGGTAGGGCTGAACCTGAACCTGCATTTAGAGGACACATACTCGTTTTTCTCATACTCAGTATATGGACAGGCCATGCCTCATGTGAAAGGACCTTTCAGAATTCGCTCACTGAGCTGCAGAGGCTGCACTAGCGCTGAGAAATGATTGGCTGCAGGTACTAGGGTTTAGGTAGTGACAGTTCAGATCAGAGAGCTTCATCTTAGGTTTAAACTAAATGTATTTTAGCATGGCAACCCAAAGTGGGAGACTCAAGTGAGGCTCATTCATTTTGTATTGTTGTTTTGGAGTTAGGGAGTGACATAATTACACATTGTGGATTTGTGTATTAAGGGACATTGAATATCCATAATATTATTTGTGAATTGTAAAAATGTTGTTGCGGATCTCATAAATAACATGGATTTTTTTTCTGTATTATATGAACACTTTACAGTTACACAGTTAAATCGAGCTCTTGTATTTTAACTGTAAGATGATGGTTCATATTGCTTTCCTTTGTGTTTTAAAGTATAATCTTTTGTTCTACACACTTTTATCTTTATGTCTTGTCTGCTCCCACAGTCCAATGTGTAATTTTATGTCATCACCAAAATATCACTATCAAAACAATAATGCTGTGATACTATCAAGTACAAAAAGAGAAGTGAAAGATTTGGAAAGCATTTCATGTTTTTATAGCTTTTTTTTTTTTTATGTCTGCTATTGAAAGAGAAGCTGGAAAAACCTAAGTCAAAGCCAGGATAAATGCTGCCAGTAAAATGAAACCTAATTTGTGCCAATAAGGCTAATTTCTTTTTACTGTACAATGTTACTCATTCTTCTTGGAAAGCAAGAGACTTATTGTATGACAGCTAAATAACCTTTCACACAAATTTAAACAACAGGGACTATAATGTGGTATGTATTTAATAAATAACAATATCAGCCACTTTTGTTTAACAAACATTTGCATCCCTGATATCTGGGACAAATAGTATTTCAGTCCTTTGTCCTAGTGTTCTGAAGTATTTTATAACACTATACCCTTTAACTCTTATAAACCAATCCATGGCATCCGTTTTCACTTTGCAAAACAATCAAATTTATTTTTGACCCAGACCAGACCATAATAGATGTAGTCCTGTAGAGGTATAACACACCAATAACTTCCTTTGTGTGGGACTTGGCCTGTCTTTGGCAGCTGGATGTGGAGAAAAAAAATCTTCAAAATGTATTTTTGGGTATCTCTTACAGAGGGTGCTATGTAATAACAAATGTTTATTGCCTCCATGACTTGCGGCTCAGCACACAAACACATGCAACATTGATGCGTATGTGTCTCCAGGCCACCAAGTTGTCGTGAGAGGTCAGAGCCCGGACAAATGTGTGAGAGTTGGTGCAGTAGGAGTTCCAGTGTCTCGAGTCAATTCCCAAACAGCCTGCTCCAGAACTGGAGCGTGATGTGTGACAGGTTGTCTCAAAGAAATATTGCTTCTTGTTCACGTTGTTGATCTTTACATCTGGTAAGACTGTCACCTCATTTCCTAAAATGTCTGTTGCTGTGGTCTTGTTCCCTACCCAGTTGCTGACACTGTCACACACAGAGTACATGCCCCTGTGCTGGGGTTGCCCTGCTTGTCGGCTCCTTCTGGCGCCCCGGGACCCAGCGGGTTCTGCATCAGGGGGCTGGGCGCTGAAGAGCACCCTGGGTGAGAGGTGGCGCCTCTTTCTGAACAATTTGGAGTCTACTGTTGGTATAGAGCTGCCTGCGTCCTGCTGCTTCGTAATCCTAGTGGAGGCCACTGCCTGGGCACTGATGAGGAGGAGCAGGGCCAGCATAGACGACCTCATGGGCTCACCACCGGGCACTGTCAACAAACCACAGCAGGTATGTGCAAACGGTAAGGGACATTTTATCCTAAAATACACAGTATATTAGTGAAAAAGTGAAAAATATATCACACTTTTGAAATATGATTAATCATCCACCCCAGTTTGTTAATATTTAAACCTAACATTTTGTAAAAAATGTTATGGTATTATTTAAATATTTTACAAATCTATATACATGATTTAAAAGCCCAAATGGCTAAAATTTAAGTCTAAACATTGTGTCTCATGATGAAACTTTGTGGCCACATGTTTAATGTACATTACCTAACAACAGGTTAAGGCCCCTTACTGTTGCTTGTGGTTGTCACTGGCATTCATGGTGGTGACAGCTGCAAGGGACTAGGGTTAGCCTCATGTCTTCCAGTTCTCTGCAGCTGTTTTATTTAACCTGGCTCATGCCAGATTGATATGTGTAGCACTTGAGTTCTACACAATTATCAGTCTCGGATGGCTCTTGCTTAAAGCTATCGAGAAACACAGTATGTCATGACTAATATTTGAATCTAATGGAACAAAGTGTCACAACAGCGGAAGAAGCCAAAAAATAAAACTTCTGTTACATCCAGTTGAGAGAAAAGCGCATACATCTTTCCTGTCCGTAAATGCACAAAGCACTTCTCTCTGCACATTTTTCACAAACATAATAATTATCTGCATTGCTAGTTTAATTTTATTGGCATGTTATTCCTGTTTTACAAATTTTTGTCCTCGCACATAGCTTTAATTTTCTTCACAGAGTCCCATGCTGTGACTTTGTTGTTGTTGTTGTTGTACATTTTAACCTTGTGATCTCAGCACTGTTACTGAACACGTCGCTCAGGTTAGGAAGCTTCCCCCATCTTAACTTAATGTTTGGTCAAACAGATTCATTATTAGTGCAACTATTTTGTTCTGTAATTCTTCTGTAATCTGTAATCTGATGAGAACACCAGAAATTACATCTCTTTTTTCCAACATGAAGTGACAGTGAGTATCAGGCGTCTGGGGCGTGTTAACACCTGTGTGGGTGCTATTACCATTATCAGGCTACGTCAGGGCGGTGGATTATACAGTTGTTTTGCCTCAGGACACAGTTTGAATAGTGGTGTATAACATTTGTAGGCACAAGTTAACACAAAAAGCATAGCCTGAACACACAGCGCATCATTTAAGTCATTACCTCATTAAACACTTGTGAGGTCTTACTCTGCTCTCTGTCACTGTGTGTGGTGAACAAGAGGCAGGAAATACACTAATGTAATGACTCTTGTTGACAATTAAAAAGCTGCTTTGTTATACATTTAGATAGTTAGTGTGATCTTTAGTGTGAATCGTGTTTGATATCAGTAAAACAACAGGTTTGGTTGTACAATATGATTTAAGAAAACATTGGAAAGTCAGAAACGTGCATGCTGTTGTTGTGCCTATATCACAGTATATTTGCACACTGTGGCAGAAGCTTGATTCAAACAACATTTTAAGATATAGGTCACAGTATATTCTGGTGCAGTTTTGTACCTCCTCAGTGTCTCCTTATGAACTGGGATCCTGGTGGCTCTTAGAGAACTGGATGTAAACTCAGCTCATTCTGGGCTCTAGCCATCTGGCTCCTCTGCAGCACCATCACCTCACCAGCCTCTGCATCCAATATCCAGATCTGAGAAAGACGAGTAGAAAAGACTCATAAAGACACTGTAAACACATTCTTTGTGAGGCCAATACGGGAAGAGAATGTGAACTTTACAGCTTAGTTTACACACATAGTGAACATACCAAAATACAGTTGCAGACCTGGGTAATGTAGATTACCTGAAGTAGACACAGGCTGTGAACCTAATATTAACGCTGTAAATTTTACTGTACTTGTATGAAACTGTTTTGACAGCATTGTTTAGAACCAAACACTATATAACTGAAAGGTATGGAAAATTCTGATAACTAGTTTTTTCATTTTTATGTAGAGAGGAGGCAATGTTTTGAATGTCGGAAAACCTTACTTAATATGTTTTAGATGTTTTGGAATTTGATGGAAACATTTTTTTTCGAGGTGATACCCATGCATAGAACTATCAGGATCAGTCTGTGGGTCTGTGGCCGGCTAGAAATTTGACAATAACTTGTTAGCAGGCAAAACAAATAACTGAATACAATACCATAATCAAATAATAACCAAACAAGTACATAGTTTTAAATATAAATTTTTGCTAATATTTACATTCTACCAGCTAACATCTAACACACAGTTGAGCTGTATGATAGGCAGGTTTATGCCAACATTAAATGAAAAAAACTATAATAAGAGGACTATAATGATGTAGGTTTAGGTACTAGTACAATGGTTCTATGCTTTGTCTGTTAATCTAAAAAATCTCAAAAGTTAGTGATTTATCACACCTCATTAAGTTTGATGCAGTAAAATACATTCTTCTGAAGAAGTCATACAGCCACTATGGTACAGTGTTTTACCAAGGCAGTAATAATCTGAGCAGTAGTGGACAGTGACTGAAAATCGCTGTTATATTTTTTGTAACAGCAATCAAATCGATTGTCAAACGTATAATGCATTAACTTACAGTATGTATTATTCATCACTTAAGTGCTTAAAATGAAAATTCCGTTTGTGATTAATGAGATCATTATAATCCTCCAACAAGAAAATGTAAACTCAAGCTCATTTCCTCTCATTTTCCCCATTGATACTCTCCTCAGAGAAATGCTTATCACTTACAGTACTGATATTTCATCAGGCAGTAAGAATTAAACTGCATTGTAGGACTTGAACATATAATTATTGATGTACTACTAGCTTTAACAATCAGAAAATGAATATCTTTGTGACAACTAAACAGTCATTATGAATAGTCACAACTGTGACCCTCTTGGGCTAGATAAGGGAGTGTATTGGTTGGTAGATTTTGACTTCATTGCAAAACCTTCAAAGACATTCTTTTCTTTTGATCAATGTATTTCTACCTGTAATGCACCGTCTATTCCTCCAGGGCATCAGTATGTACAGTACATTATAGTTTTTCAGCTTACAATCTTTTCACATGCCAAAGCTTGTTTCTGCAGGTGAAATGTCATTGCTGTATTTCACCTTTGGTAAGATAAGATAATAGTATGCATGTAAAGCATATTCTTTTCTCATTGTGACTACAGCCCTGTTATATCGAGTTAAGTTCATGTCTCTATTATCTATTCAAATATTTGCTAAATTGTTGCAAAAGGCCAATGTTGGCAGTGAGATTGTGATTTAAGACAGATATTTGAAATTTCTTATGTCCAAAATGATTATGTGAAGCCAAATAGCAGCTAATGTGAGGTCCTGTTCATCAGAAAATAAGCTGTTATCATGATGGAAGAGCGCTGTCAGTGACCAGTTACTGTGATTGCAACATATGGGCGGCTGTGTTGTCTAGCCGAGTAGTTCCCAAAAGACAACTTTGCTCATGTTTCCTGTTGATCTGTAATATCATGGAGACTGGAGACTCTTTCCATCTCACATCCTTTCTATTATGTCATCAGACTTAATCAAAAGCAGGTACGGAAGTTATGCGGAAAATTCTTTCCATTTTTATAAAACCGTTCATGATTCACAGTGAGCTGTGTGAGAGAGAGCAATAAATGGAAGATTTAACAAGGACAGTTTCATGACTTACTGGTGGCTTTGTTTGTCTCACTGCTCTGAAAAGTCACAGCTGACCTATGTCTCCATACACAATGTTGTAACTATGCACAACACACTGTTGTGTAAGCATGCTACACTTCAAATTAGTCAAATAAAAATTTAGAACAATGGTTGTTTTTGTAATGTATTGGCATAGACACTACTTTAACTCTCTCTTAAACTCTTGTCTTAAGATGCATTTCTTGCACAGGCTCCTATGAACACTATCAGCGAAAGTTCAGTAAAGAAGATTAACATTCTTTAAAACTGACATGCCTCATCTTGAGATGAACCTGTGATAAAAAAAAAATACATTTAATTAAATAAACAGAGGACATTATTAACACATTTAATTTGACAGTACGTTCCTGGAAGTTTAAATCACTGTCCACTTGAGGAAATTGATTTCACTATATATATATATATATATATATATATATATATATATATATATATATATATATATATATATATATATATATATATATATATATATATATATATATATATATACACACACACACACACACACACACACACATATATATATATATATATATATATATATATATATAACTAAAAACACACTTTCACTGTCAAAGTTGGTTTAGGAATATATACAGACTATTCATGATTCAAGTATTACTTAAATAAGAAGACAACTTGCTTTGTCTGCTTAGTTTTGCAGCAAATTCACATGGCTGTCTTCACATTCACTATGGAGTACAGGAGGACAAACTTAATGAGAGGGTCTCTTTGGTCAGAGAATATTTGGGGCTTACACTGTTCTTTCTGAGCAGTTCTCTTCCAGGCTGCACACCAGCAGTTTGGAGGCCATAGCTACTGTCTTCCTCAGACATTTTTTCCAAGCATCTCATAGCATAGTGTTTCCAAGCAAAGCTAAGTGTTTAAAATTTGGCTCTGCTTTGCAGCTTTTGTTTACACTGGAACTAATCACCAGACTTTCCTAAACCATCACAATGTACCAGTGCTAACCTAAAACAATATAGGGTGAACTGTGAAACACAAATTAACACAACCAAGGCTTAAGCAAAACATTGCCTTAATACTCTGTTGTTTTTCTTTTCTTGGAACTATTTAGAGCATTCATGTCAAAGCATGTCAAATAAACTTCAAACTTCACATCAAAACGTTTTGCCCGTTGCGCCCCCATGTTGCTTTCATATATTTAAACCATAACATAAACTGTAGAGAATGTTTATTATTTCTTACCGTGGGCACAAGTGAATTTAGTCAAGATGTTTGCAGAGTTTATAATGGATAAAAATATGGCGCTATTATGGTACACATAAGTTTAATACATGTGTGATTACTTCTTCATATTTCATATTTTATTTCATTTGAATATATTTATAGACTGTCTCCATCTTGAAAGCACCTCTTGATGTTATCTGGTGATAATCCAGAAAGTCCTCACCTTTGTATTTATCATTATCCATTATTCCTTTCAGTGTTTTAACTCTCTTCACTACCACGCTAACCCTTAAATGCATCCCCATTTCAGTCCCTGTACCTGTTGGTGTTTTGGTGGTAAAAATCTGCACTAATTGGTCTTTACAAAGTACATGAGACACCAAAAATAAAACACAAATAATGTAAAACCTTAGCAATGTCTCTCCTGAAGTTTTACAAATGTTTATATTAAAGGATTAACATTATCATTAAAGGATTGTTTTATATCCAAACATAACTGTAAATCAAATCAAGTGTCTCTGGATGCTTAATTCGTATCGAGACACATATATTGCAGCAGTTATTATATTACATTTTAGGAGAGATAGAACAAGGAAAACAATTTCTTGCCAATATTTAGTTTTTTTTTTAGTTAGTTTGTCTTCTTAAATGTGAGCATTCATGTGAAAACAACACAGTTGTCCAATCTTTACCTAATTTTACTTCATTAGCTTGTATAGATTTATATGGGACATTGTAGCACCAAAGTCATAAAGTCATTACAGTGTTTGTGTTGTACTAAACAATATTTTGATACATTGCACAGAGGGATTTTTTAATATCTGCCTTTTCTCCAAAAATTTAGATTTTACTATAGTAAGATCTAGTAGTTTACTTAATATCCAAATTAGATATCCAAAAGATTCTGTAATTCTTTTGTATATAATGTATCAACAAAATGTAGGTTTAAAAAAAAAAATTAAAAATTACATGATTTTTTTCACACAACATGACTTGAATTTATTTACATTAAAAAATATGACTAGGAGAAAGGACACGCACATCCAGGATCCAAGAAGGCAGCAGAAAATATGAAAAAAGAAGTTGGTCCACACGTACAAAATACAAAAAGTTAGTTTATTCTGCTGTTGTGATGTTCAGGGCTCCCTTCAGACAGTGCCTGATGTCTTTTTAAAAATTTATACGATATTAATAATGTTAAATCTACAAATTTAAGATTTTTTCCTATTCACCTGCCTTAAAAGATAGGTAATAATAAAAGGAACAACAATAATCATTTTGTTGTTTTCTACTATAGTATAAATAGCCTTCATAAAGTTGTACCAACTTCTTAGCCTAGTGCCTGCGGCTGGTAGAGAAGACGGGACATGTCTCCCCCGGAATGGAAGGATAGATGCTGATGCAGTTATGCACTGTACGAGGAAGAAAGCTAATGGGATTTGATACCAGTGAAGGCAGGAATAACAGAAGCCTCTGTAATTGAAGGCAATTATAGTCTTGTTCTTTTTTGGGGCTATACAGTAGAAAGTGAACAAATAGTTTTTCTTTACAATCATCTAACCATAATAGCAAACACATGCAACTAATGAGTGACAATAGTTGGTTGTATTAGTAATCTTTTTGGGAAAACTAGACATGGGCAATGGTTTTCATTAACCCTCTCAATTAGAAGTGGGACAAACATGACACCACAGTAGGGCATGTGCTTGGTTAAAGAGTTTTCATCCACCATTCTAATGTCCTTATGCTTTATATTCAAATGTATATAGCTTGAATATTGTTATTGTAGTGATACTGGAATGTATGTGCTGATGGAAAAAATGATTGGAAAAGATCATTTTCTACAGTTTTACATTAAAAAAAATCGGGGTTTTCCTTGTACACATAGCACGTTTCATACTCTCTGCAACTTATAATTAAACACCACAGTAGGACACGTCAAATGAGGACGGGCTATGGGAAAACACCTTTTTCTGCTGCACCACCTTGATTAGCAGTTAGTTTGGGAGCCCTGAAGAACAATAATTAGCCAAAGTAATTATGGCAAAATGCATAGTAATAATATGCAGTTATGTTTTAGCTGGAGGACTATGTTTGTCTATGCAAGCCAAGGCCATTGTGTTCAATGTATTCATTTTAAAGAACAATAGTTTATTGGTGTAGGTAACCTTTGCCTTTTGCATTTCATTGTCACTTTCTCTAAAGAGCTTGGGGTTAACTGTGGAGAAACCACATGTTTGGCAGTGTTACAGTATTCCTTACTTCTCATTTTAGAAAGACATAACCGCAAGTTTCTCTTTGAAGGCAGCATCGAGGATTAAGTCCAAAGCACGCCTCCAGCGACAACCTGACAAACTTATATCAACAATAAGATCTGACACTAAAACTGTGAGGTGCCCACAAGCCTGCTTGACACTTACTATTCACTGTCCTATCCACCAACCAGCCCCCCTTATTTCATCACTCATTCATTGTAAAATGACCACGAGTCCCTTTGTTCAAGTATATAATACACTGAAAGCTTTTGTTTTTCAATAAAGGAACACATTTTCAGCCTAGATATAAAGAGGAATTTATCAGCAAATCAAATGGAAAGGTTAGGGACTAAACCATAGTCTATTATGTCTATTATGTATTTTTTTTTATGTATTAGAACATCTATTTTGTTGTATGTTTTCTCAAGCATAGCTAGTAACCCACTATTATGCAAAGAATGTAATAAATTGCTTTAAGTACACACATACTCTGTGCATAATTTGAGATGTTTGCCTCCAGCCAGTTCCTTGTTACAAACCCAACCTCAAAATACAAAAAATGTGCAGGAATGCTTTGAGAGTATTTCCTAGCCCCAGGAGATGAGTGCCGTTCTGATATGTGCTATTGTAACCTGATGAGCCCCAGGCTAAGCTTCAGCAGTTTCTGATGGGAAAGAGGAGTGGGCACTGTGCACTATGGTCTCTTTCTAACTCATCAAAACATAGTAGCATTATTTTTCATGACAGCTGGTCTCTACAGTAAGTGATAATGAGCTATCAGTTAAGACTTTGAAGAAATGTGTATTGTGACAACCGTGTGACATCCTTTCTGTCTCTGTAAGTTCATAGATGAAATTGAAAAGTCTGTAAAGATTAGATTTGTCCTTACATGAGTAAAGGGTCCTACTGAAGACTGGTTTCCAAAGGTTCCTCAAAAACATTCCAGTTTGTGTCCAATCCCACAAAATTCAAAGTCAAAACATATTTTGTCCGTAGCATATCCAAATTGTTGTATCTGCAGACTACACTTGTTTGAAAATAGTTCTCAAAGAAAGTGCGAAACATCCCAGAGGCTGCGGAGTCGGTCGATTGTGAGGTGCGGAGCGGGGCAGGTCCTAGTGTCTGCCCTCCTCCCTGGAAAGCACAAGTAATTGTTCATCATTTCCTCAAATTCCTCTTTCAATGTTTTGAACTGTCCCAAGTTTGACAGTAGACTTTACACATGAACACACTGTAAGTCTTGTTCTTGTTCTTTCTAAAGGTCAGAAACAATGTATACATATTTTTACCATTTTCTCTCTCTGTGTAATTAATCACTTGCACACGATTGCCTTAGAAATTCAATAATTAAACTGATATACGCTCCAGTACAAGTGGCTGATTTACCTTTATACAAGTGTAGTTTCATGTAAAATAATGAAAAACAAATAGCTTTTCCATTCCCTTGACGTGTCTGTGAGATAGTGCAGGTGTTTGTATATTTCCCAGATGTGAAGTCGTTCAACTATTTTTAAACTGACGTAATTGTCCAGGCCAATACTTTCATTCAGATAGAGTTACAAATTCTTTTTACTGTTTGAAGCTTAAATGGTGTATTGAGTGAAAGTACTCAAATTTCAAAAAGTGATGTGAGCGGAAAAATGTTATAAACTAATGCAGGTGTATTTTAGCTCAGGGTCACCACATGTTGAACACATTTAGTCAGCTGTGTGTAAATACAGTAGTGGTATTTGTGTTGTTTTTGAAGCACTGCTATAGTCCCAGCTGTTTACATCTGGACCATAAAGAGAACATACATACTGACCCATTCTACTTACTGTTTTAGAGAAGGATTAAATTATTAGATTTTTCACTTAACACCATTAGAACATGTAAATTGGTTCATAAAACTTTGTTGTATGATGTTTTGGCCTGGTTGTTTGGTTTTGTTTTAGAGGATCAATATGAAGTAAAAGGAAAATAAACAAGTTATGCATAATATAATAAATTATAGCATGGCAAGCTCATTGAAAATCTATGGAATAACCAGTTTTTTTGTTTTGTCATAAAGATAAGTTCATATGCATGTGTTTATCATGTTGCATATGTCTTCTCTGTTCCAGTAACAAAGCTTACACTATTACTTTATCTCATAGTCAATGTAATTTGAGCATTCCAACATGTTCTATAATGGGACACAAGCCATTATCGCCTACTTTTTGGGTGGATAAACTACTTTTGTGCAGACACTACTTAGACGTGGAAAATTACAGGAAAGCATTATGTTTACAGTAGTTCAATCAGGGCTGATATAAGATTCATCCAGATCCAGATTTTTATACAGAATCAACAAAATAATAGATGTTCAAAAATGACTACAAATAGATAAGTAAATAAATAAAATATGTATGAAAATTACATTGAATAAATGTATGTCTTTGTGTTTCTTTTTATGGGTGATCCACATCTGGCCTTCATCAGCCACATCAGCGAGGACCAAATGCTCGAAAAGACAGCTGACGTTGTGGAACTGAGCAGGAAGTAAGTTCTTAATCTTCGTTCTATGAAAACTTCAGATCTGATTATCACGAAGACATAGCAGAGCAAGATGTAGTGCTCCCTGGTCAACAAGTGTTACACAGAATTTTGCATGTGGGACTGCAGCTCCCTAACAACAACTCTGGACTTATGGACTTAATTTGTTATAAAAGTCAGCTGTCATCTCCTGCCCTGTAAAACTCAGGAAGAAGTTAATGTACAATGTAATTTCCAATTCTGCAAGAAACAGTTATTGAGACCACACCTGTTCACTGATACAGGTACCACACCTGTTACTGATACTGATATATATATATATATATATATATATATATATATATATATATATATATATATATATATATATATATATATATATATATATATATATATATATATATATTTATATATATATTTAAGAGTTTGTGTAGGGTTTGTGTGAAGGACTGTGAGTCAGATTTCCTTCTGCAAAGATAAATATAGCTAAAGTTAGAATATCAAGTCCAAAGCAAAGTTTGTTTCTGACATCTGATTTGAATTTATGGTTGGATAGTCTTTTTTAATAATGCCACCACAAAAGTTTTAACTATTTATGGTTTATTAAAGGTTTGCCAGTTTATTCTAGGCAAATGAATCACCTGACCTGAGCAGTGATCTAAAGGATCACAAGCCAATGTCAGGTCAAGCATGTGACCTTTGACCTGCTTTGTGCCCAGCCCAGATTATTGCAGGGCCACCAGGCATACCCTTTCAGGAAAAGCACCCCAGTTCCAGAGGACAATAGCCTTATTGTCTATCACTGGTTTTTGTTGTGGATAAAATGCAATGTAAATATTCAAAATACAGAACAAAACATGACTTAACATGACTATTTGATACCGTTTTATGTATCCAGTATGTTACCTGTGAATGCACATACACAAGACCATATTTTATTACAACAACTTCCACATCCATACTTGTGATGTTTTCTTACTGTTTTTCCTGTGTGTGAATCTTGATGCAGTGATTGTCAGCACATCTGTGTTTATATGTGGGATGATGATTGAGAGATTGTCTCCTCCTTGTGTGTTTACAGAGACTTCAGTCTTGTGTGTGCTTGGTGAGAGAATATGATTCTTTGTAAAAGCAATAATATAAAGCATTAATATAAAAATATTTCATACAGTTATAATCATTCTAAATATTTAAGAAGTTTCTGTCACTATCCAATGCCACTGATTTATAGATTGTCATTGCATTTATTCAGGACTTAACCTGAGCAAGATCTTAGCCATATCATTAATTTAAATTCTAACCAGTGCATAATGTAAAATGTTTTGTCCTGTATCAGTGAACTTGATGTCAGGAGATGTACGTCAAAGTCCCATATTTCACAATAAGGTATTGTTGGGCAGTCTGTTGGTGCCATGGTTTGGCTCGGTTCCCACCGCTGATGCCTTCGGCATAAATTGCTTGGCAGTGTAAGCCTCATAGAATGTATAGTGAACAGCGAGTAATGTGCTTTGACAGTGCAGCATGATGTCACCAATAGCAAGAATTTGTTGTATGCTATTCAGTCTCTTAATGTGAGTACTGGTTACTATTTCATCCATCATTTTAGAAACAATTGAAATTAGTGTTTTGGCTACCTTTAATACATCAACTGGCACGTTAAATTAGACTTATGTCACTGATAGTGGTTCTTAAAATGGAGTCTCTTCTTTGTTCGTTACCTGTCTAGGACTCATCACTTCAGAGTTGTGCCGCTGTAATCAAATCTGGCTCAGGCGGGACAACTAGTCCAGGGGCTAAATAGGTTTGGCCCCTGGGGCAAGCCAATGTCTATTATGCCTTTACCCTGAAAGACTGGGACCCCCACACACATACATGCACACAGAGGATCAGGTGGCTGCTAAACTTTGATCAAACTGGAGCAAACTGCAGGACTTGGACTGGAACTGTCATTTCTTCATAGTAAAATGCTATCATAAAAAGTGTAATACTAAGTGTAATTATTTAAAGGTATTGTTTTCTGGCAGATACTAACTACAATACTACACTATACTGCAGCATTATGTAACATGATCTCTAGACTGAAGACGGTAATAAAGATGTCTCAAATAACATTTAATACATTTTTTGTATTGTTTTTTTCATTTGCCTAGATGCAGCAGACTCAATAGTCTCAATACTGATGAGTAAAATATAGTCAACTGCACATCTATCGACAGTATATTTCATTGTTATATTGAAGTTCAGTTCCTGAAATCCCTTATACTGTATTAAAAAGAATGGCTTGTACTACATGTTCATGTGAAATTGAACAATCTGGTCACCAGATGTGTTTAGGATATCAGCATAATTCCCAAACCAGCTGCTGAACACTGTCAGATTCATAATATATTCGAAAGTGGATGTATTTCCAATAAGATATATAATTTAGAATATTTCTTTTCTGTAAAATATGTGTTTCTACACATAATCCTAACCATGTTAACAGCTGCTGACTCTTTGACTTTAAATATTTAGCAAAATTGTTCAGTTTGACCTTCAGGACTGTTTTAGAAAGAATGCAGCACCCTCTGCATAGCTTGTCCCTAAAAATGTCATGTGTTCTTGGCATGTGAGACCCAGCCCCCCTAAATTACACTAAGTACCTGAGTTGCAGTTTAGACTCTAATCCATTCTGAGGATGCAGGTCAGACGACTTAAGGGAAGAAAGCACTAGTATGTTTTTGCTGTCATTTCCAATTAATCCAAATAGTGTCTGTTTTTGTTCTAGTCCTGCTCCTGCAAGTGTATTCAAAATTAGAACAAGATGGCTCTGGGCACCTCAGTTCAGATGTATAGACAGAAATGGTTAAATGCATGTGCTGCCCTCCTGTGGTTGACTGAAGAAGTTCCAAAGTCTTCAGTCAAGTCAACAAATCAGGCAGTAGTTTGCAGGAAATGTATTTGAAATTTGTGGCCTTGTGTATTTTGTGCTTGAGGATTTAAGATAGTTGAAATAAGTGTAGATAATTATTTTATTGTTCCCCAAATCTAATACAAGACACAACAATATTTCCAATGTATACTGCCTCTTCAGTCATTGTATAACATAGCACATCCTGTTTTGAAGCCAGTATCCTCAGAGGAGCAGCAACAGGGCAGGTATGCCTGTCCAAGTGCTCATTAGAAGAAAGAGCAAATGAATCCTCTCAGGGATCTTCTAACTATACCAAGCCAACAACAACAGATGCACATGCCTACTGCTGGAAAACTTGCAATTGGTTAATGAAGCTCTCTTTGTGAGTGCTTTTGCCAGGCGAAATGTCAGCGGCGGCATTGTGGCATACAAAATAAAGCCTGAAGCCACCAGTGACATCATGTGTGTGACAAGAGTGATTCCTTTGTATTGAGATGGGGACATGGTATAGGACAGCTGATGCATAGTGACTGATCGACTTAAAAGCTGCACAGAGTAGTACGCCTTTTTGCATGTTCTGCCATAAGTAGCAGTGCATAGTAATGATGACTATATATAGACAGCAACATGTATTACACCCTGCACAAACCCTTGATGTCGTGCAGCGTAGTGTAGGATATAGGCAAGGGATGGGAGGCAAGGTTGAAAACAAAAAGGAGTCAGATGTAACAGATTTGGAATCACACAGTTGGTATATTTACATGGCCAGTAAAAATCTGGAGCAGACCCAATATCCGATTTTTTATGTATTTACATGCACAAAAGAAATCTGATGATCAAAAACACCTGGTGATGTGTGACAGTTCATCAACATATTTTTAGACTAAATGTATTTGGAACAAAAAGTACAGTCAAGTTGAAAGTAACTCATTCATTTTTGTTTTGCAGAATTTTCCTTACAAAATCTTAGAAATCTTACTCACATTAGATTTTGTTTACACAACATTTTAATAATCTCCAGAGAGAGAACACCAGAAATCAGATAATGATCAGATTTTTGTTAAAAAAAAAAAAGTCTCTGTAATTTATGTTAGCAAAAATCTGATCATTATCTGATAACAGTTTTATATATGTCTAGTTCATGTATATTACCAATGCAGAGCTCCATTATAACTGTGGTATCTGGTTTTGTCCCTTGGGTGCCTGTAGCTATAGGAAAACACAATAGTTGGCTTGGCTGGGTGCCCTTGCATTAGGTGTAGTAAACAACATTGCCTTTGTAGTATTTTCTACATTACCAACCATTGATTAAATGTAGGACAATAACCAAGTTATTTTTTTCTGTCTTTACAATGCAGTAGCACACTGTTAAAAAGTGTTGGAGTGACTAAGAAAGTAGAAATTGATTGAAGCCGGCACACCAATCTCACCGTTTTAATGTGAGTGTCAGAACCCAGTTGGATCACTCTTCTCCCTCATTCCCGCTCTCCACTGAAACCCCTCATAGAAACCTGTCATAGATCACCTGAAGCACAGTATAGTCTGGCGCTCTCCTAATGGGTCAGAATATTTATATCTATGTCCCATCTGTGCACAAATTGTTCTCCTTTTCATAAATCATTGAGCTAAAGCAATTGCACATGCAGAAAGGGAAGTGAGCGATCCCCTTGGTGTGTGGCAGGAGCAGTCACTGTGTCCAATATCTGGTGTTTGTTTGTTTAGTGAGAACAAATGTGAGCTGTATCAAATGTGACACAGTTGGAGTTGCAGCGGATGTTTTTGAATAAAGGTGTCAGATTCTTGGTCTTCATTGTGTGCATGGATTTATGTATCAGCTCCAGCTACTGGCTGCATCTTTTACACTTAATGAATCACATTTGTAAATCACAGAATTAACCACCTCTGTTGGCTTAAGCTTTGGTGTTTTTTTAAGTAATGAAATAAATAAAGATTCCCTATTCAAACTGAGCTTTTATCTTATTAACAAAAGTGAAATTTGTTTGAGTAAGATATAAATGGAACAATTATACTAATATTGAAAAGGCTTTTGTACATTACAGCTGTGCATATGCAGTCCACAAACGCCCAATTACTAAATCCATTTTGCAAATGG